GATCCCTGCACTCTTCTAGCCTGTGTATATCTCTTCTCTTTTTTTTTTTTCTTTTTTTTTTTTTGACAAAAAAGCTGAATCCGTGTCCTATGAGTGTCGCCAGTGTGTCCTTCGCCATGTTCGGAATGAAAAATATAATAAAAAAATAGGACACCTCTACAGAGGTGTCGGACACGTGTCCGAGGCTTGGATACGCGTGTCCGACACCGGTATGACTACCCATTCTTATGTGTCCGTGCTTCATAAGTCCAAACCATTTGATTCGAATTATACCCAATTTAGCATTTGTATCCTGGGAAACAAGCGCCACAGAGTACGTCAATACCAGGGCATAAATCATCTTAAAGATATAATATTCAATAGTAGCCTCGGTCCAGGTTATTTATTTATTTATTATTATTTTATTACTTTAATTTGTATGTTTAATTAAATATCGAGCTGCATATTTAATTAATTATTTTTTAGTAGCATATTATTAATTATCTCATGACATATTAATATAAAATTAGTTATATCTTAAATGTCATTTGAACCATGTATTCTCTAACACTATTTCATTTGAATTGTTATCCGGGTAGACTTAATAGAGTATAAGATTAATTAAATGTCCAAATGTATAAGAATTTCACATAGTCGAAAGCACTCAAAACTAGGGGTGCAAGTTGGGCAGGCCCAACCTAGTCTGGTCCCAATTCAAACTCAACCTGATATTGGATTGGGCCAGCCCAATGTCACCCCAGATAAGAGTTTTCAAGTAACTCAAGCCTAAATTTTTTCATGTTGGACTAGTTGACTCATTCAACCCCTGTTTTTTTTCTCTTGTTTTTTTGTTTTTTTCATGGCCCTTTGGTATTATAACTTAAGTACTCAATTAATAATTTTTGTCTACTTCCAATTCTAATTTTATTTCATTAATACAACAAAAATAAAACTTATCTTATTTTAATTTTATTTTTTCATACAAATATGCCAAAATCACATTTTTGGTTTCCTGGGCTTGAAAATCAATTTTTTTTTCAGAAAAATTTAGTTTTCAATTCATTGATACTGCTATTTTTTCTATTTGAATTTCTTTGGCATTGCAAAGACATTTATATATCACCTGAACTTTTATGCGAAACACAAAAGAAGTAAAATTTTGTTTCAGAATTATACGGGAGTTAAAATGGTTCTCGGATCAGCGGAGAAAATATATATACTACTTACAACAGTGGAGCCGCAGGAACTACTTAATTATTCCAATGTACATTGGAGAACGTCAACACATACAATAATGAATGAACCTTCACGTCCAACTCTAGCTATTTTATACTACATTAATTATATATATATATATATATATATATATAGCTATAGTATATATACTGCGTGTGTAAATGTACGTCTAGTACTTGAATGATGAATCATGCATATTCGGGTTGCTCTGTTTTCATTTTTCAACATCAAGATATTATTCCAAAAGCAACAAAAGAAGACCATTTTTATCCTCTTGGAGGCCAGGAAGGCATACATTCCGAGAAACTCTTTGGCTTGGTAATAAATTTAATTTGGAATTAAAAAAAAAAAAAAAAAATTGGGTTTTGAAAACCCAACCCAATTTGAACCCAATTTGTGAATTTCAAAGGTCAAGTTCCAAAATTTTTGAGTTGGATTCGGGTTGGACCGCACAAATTGCACCCCTACTCAAAACACCAATATCTATTACCTTGTTAGGGTGCGTACATGTAAAAAACCATATCATATATAATGGAGATTTCACTGAACTCGGACAGAGTATATTCTTAAAATTAAATTTTATTAAACGGTGAGACATATAATATATGCTGCGACCCTACATGCATAGAACTTTGTTTCAGTAAGGTTTATCCATAGAACTTTGCAGTGATGAGATTTACCTACTTTCTTTTGTACAGTTAAAATTGTAGGTGAGACGATAATTATTAAAATAGGTTAAGCAACCCTACGCTAGGAAAAAATTAATGTGCGTAGTCGGTTTTTTGTGCGACTCCAATACAGAGTGTCCAAAGACTCACTCTTAGTAAATTGATAAGATAGACCCGTCTCTCCTCTTGGGGTGAATAGACAGTGCCAAAAACTCTTCGTAAATAGACAAGACAGGTGCCAAAATCAATTATGACCGTGATTCGCCGTATCGGCCGGTTCATAACTCTTTTTCAATAGTCCAATAATCGGCCGGTTTATACCGATATTCGTCCGAATCTGTTACACCGCAGTCGCGCTCGATACAGAAACTGCAAACCATGATCCTGACATACTTAAATTTCATAGTAATCCTATGGAGAACACCTAGGACTTGTGATTCATAAAATAAACCCAAACCTTTCTAAAGATTTATAAATTAAAGTCAGAAATTTTTCACTCCATCTTGCAAAGATATAATGGGTCTTAGTAAGAGAGATTTTTGGGTCTGGTTCCTAAAAATCTGAATGCATGTAATATAAAAGGTCTTTATTGGTGTGAGAACCCCTCTTGAAACCACATATTAGTATCATCTATACAACATTCTATTTGGATTGTAACTGTGTTCCTAAACAGCGTGTACATCTATCTTTACAGCCTTCTTTGCCTCTTTTATGATTATGATAACCACATATTGCACATATTGGTATCATCTACACAACATTCTATTTGGATTGTAAATGTGTTCCTAAACAAAGTGTACCTTCTTTGATGATCAAGGCACCATTGTTGATCACTATAGCTCACCCTTCTGCTGACTAAATGCAAGTCCAACGTGTTCGATGATATCAGCTCTTCAAACTAAGAACCTGTTCGCGTTACCTATTCTAATGTTTTTACATGCTACATCATTACTCATATGTTACATGCTACATCATTACTCGGATGTATCAGATTGTTCTTGCTTAGACACGTGATAGGTACCTGTACTTGAATAACATCATTTCTTGAGTACTCAATTGCCACAGTTGCTGAATCTGTAGACTTCTCCTTGAGTTCTCAATAGCCACAGTTGCTGAATATGTATACTTCTCCTCCAACTCTCTTTTAAAAGGTCAGCATTCCTCCTGAGTGTGCCATCACTTAAAACTTCAATCGAAAACGGTTGATGGTGCCATCACTTAAAAACTTCAATCAAAACTTGCTCATTCTGAGCTTTTTCCTCCTGTATTACTCCTTCCACAGTTTCATTCATTTTTCATCACAATCCCTGTGACTAGAGCTATGTTTACCTGGACTCGGGTATGTGATAAAAACATTATAACTCATAGTCTGTCGTAAAGACATTATGAAAGATATGCGATCTAGCATAAGGAATTAATTTCATCCCAAGTGAGATGATTGAAATAAGAACCTATCTCCTTTTATCTCCAAAGGACAAAAGAGTTCTTTCAAAAAATTGCCAATAAATTCTGAAACTTCCAATAAATTGACAACATGGATAGGTTGTCTATATATAAATCATGGTGCCAACACGCCTGGGGAAGATTGTGCTTGTAAACAATTATGCATTTCTTCTTTCAATTCTTTCGCAAACTTAATACCGAAAGAGCCTCAAGTACTGCCTCGAGCCAAGATAAGATTTTTTGCGTCGATGACCAGGCCTTAATGGTGCAAATTTAGGGTTTTCCTAGATCCATTAGATAAAGAAAGAAAAATTAGTAGCTTTGAAATTCTTCCATTAACCATCCTTACCATTCACATCTCCAAAAGCCTTTTCTTACCTCTATGCTTTTTCTTTCTCCCCCTTTTCAGTACCTCCTCCTCCTATGGCATGAGAGGTTCATGTTCCCGTAAAAGCAATAAGGGGTGCTAAATAACGCCTTAGGTAAGCCAAAAAACCTTAAAATCCCCAAAAGGTTATATCATCTACGGTAACAGAGTTATCATCCTTAAGCTTACTTCATTACCAAGAACTCTAGTAGTATATCCTCCACTGTTTAAGTGGAAGGTTGGAAATTCAAATCCTCGTGAGGAGCAACTGTGAATGTAAAGTGTTTAACTTTTCATCTGAATCTGAACTTTTTATCAAAAACACCCACTGGGTATTTTGATCCCCTTTAATAAGTTTTATGATGGCATGACAAAGCTTGCCAATTTCGAAACTGCAGAGTATGGATGCATTCTAATTGTTATTCCATTACATAAAAAATAAAATAAAAAAGGTTGAACCATAGCATATGAAAGCAATTTGCAAATAATTTAATTATAAACAAAGTAAATAAACTAGTTTAAACATGATATTGACATGCGTTCAAGCATCAAATGTATCAAATCCCCAATCATAACTATTTATATCAAGTAAATGTAACTTTTCAAAATAGGTTTTTAAAATGTTTTGCAACTATAATCTAATAACATTTAATTATTAGCCAAATATGTTCAACACATATACAATACCCTTGTCCTAGTGTCATGTATCTGACAGAAGTAAATTATGTACTTTTGAAAAGTCTTAGGCTTCTAACAACACGAGTGTCTCTCTTCCCAAACAACAGAGTTGTAACAATTACCATCGGACCAAAGCAGTCAGGTCACATAGGTGAGCCAAACTAGTGCAATTGTTACAAGTATTTACAGCAAGCAACTACTCCAAGCTTCCATCAGTTTACAGACATCGCGTGTACATACAAAATGGCTATTACTGAATCATTCCCAATAAGAAGAATAACAACCCTACTAGTTTGTGTGTGAGAAAATATAATCGTGCTAACTACTTGAATCAAACCAATAGGTAATAGGTAATACTATGTTTGGGAGCACCTAATCGGTGGTTCGGCTTTGGAATCGGAACAAATTTAGTTAAAATTTTAACTAAATTTTCTCCAATTCCAAATCCAAAGGCCTAGATTTGGTGTTTCCAAACGAACATAAATGATTTTGTAATTTACTAATAACCCATAACATATTATATGATTAAGCAAAAAATTTTGTTACTTAGTGAAACAAACAGAGATTTCAGTGCACTAAACCAATTACTATTTTCGGTTATCCCAAACAAATACTACGGAAACCAAATAAAGCACATACAAAAATGTATAACATAACTTATGTCATTACCGGTAAATAAACAAAACCAATTAATATTTTCCATTCAGAACATAGAAAAAAATTGGTTACAGAATCAACAAAAGTGACCAAATTGATGCGTTCATAGAACTTGCCTGTCCGCGGCATCGGCAACAATCGGCAATCTGGGCAGCTGACCCAACAAGCAAGAAGATGAGCCATATATCAAACACACCAGAAGGAACAAAAACACAGTGCTGTCTAAGCACATCATCAAATCCAAACCCAACCCATCTCTTGGATTGAAGCTCCTCTCCAGAAGATCAGGGAAAATCAACAGCACATCAAGAACTATAGCTTGCATAGTGTTGAACCTCACGTATCTACTAAAATTAGGGTTTCTGACAACAACAAAGTAGAGGGTCAAGAACACCAAGAACCCATTGAAAGGGAAGCTCTTGAAGACCCTAATAGCTGGGACTAGTGGTTGAATGAGGGCTTGAATGGGTGCAACCTGGGTGATTACGTATTTTCCGTACTGTATGCCATCAAAGAAGGGGTAGAAGTAGCAGACGGCTGAGATTAAGCGGTCTGGGGGGTCTGCTGAATCGCTACCGTTGGATTGGGCAGTTATGAGCCTTCTGGGTTTGGTTGTGCGATTTGTTAGAGAGAGAAGGGATGGGTTTCTGAGGTTGAGAGAGAGAGGTGAGGCTGTGTACAGGGGTTGTTTGTAGGAGAAGGTGGGAGGAGTTGATAGAAGATTGGACACAGCCATAGTGTACAGTGAAGATGAGGGGAGAGAGAGAGTCAGAGATAGATAGAGAGAGAGAGAGAGAGAGAGGGAGGGAGGGAGAAGAGCATCAGCTGAGATAGAATATCTGAAGTAGATTTTTGGAAGATATCGGCCATCCGCGGCCCAATGGCCCATCCATATACAAAACTGCACTTTCAAGTTTTAATACAAGTTTGGGCCCGAGGATTTAAAACCCTGATCAAGCCCAATCCAATGCCTCTGATAGATCCAACGTTTTTCACTATTCATTATATATCCAATAACTCGTTATCAACATTTCGGCATAATATGAATCCATTTCCCTTCATAATATGAATCATTTAATCATCAACACAATAAGTTTAATACAAAAAATAATAATAAAAAATAAAAATTATACAAAGAATTGATATGAATAAAGTGGTGAACAGAAGGCAATATTTAGAAAACCAAAGCCACCCAAAGAGCCAAACCACTCAAAATTAGCGCAGCCTCGTACTGCGAGTTAGAACCAGATTCATCACCCACTGGACCTTGTGCAGTCTCCGGTGATAAACTCGCCTGAGATGGGGTCGATGGGATCCTGTTTGACGGGATTGTCTTCGGTGACCCTGCCGGTGTTGCAGATGCCGCTGGGGTTGCAGCAGTTGCCGGTACCTCTGCCACTGCCGGAGACTTTGCAGGAGTCAATCCCACGGGAGGTGATGTGGGAGTGCTCACTGGGGTTGCAGCCATCGGAGAAGGAGTCACTGTGGGAGGTGCTGTTGGAGATAGAACCGGCGAAGATGATGGACTGATTGACGGAGAAACCGGCATCGTCGGAGAGATTTTGGGAGTCGCCGGAATAGGCGGTGCCAAAGTCGGAGACTTTGAAGGGGATGCACTTGGGCTCGTCGGAGTAGATTTAGGTGCCGGTGCAGGTGAATTGGTCCCCTGTGCCCAACCGGAATCTGACACACAGAACACCAATAAAACAATTACAAGTAGTCTACACATCTTGCCTGTGTGGAGAATATTTGGATCAAAGACACAGCAACCGTTAATCAAATACTAATAAAAAAATGTCTGATTATTGCTCTCCGATGAACATGGAGGTGGATCAATGAGATATATGTAAACAGAGGAGAGTAGGAAATTAGAGGTGGGATATGTAATCTTCAAAAGGAAATATGACCGTTGGGGTTATGGTTGTTTTCTACCGGCTATAGGGAGTAACAAGCCGTTCGGTGGAAGTTCATGACTGGCTGGTTCGGTTGTATCGACCGTTTTTTAAATAAAAAAAAAAATTAAAAAAAAAAAGTAATAATAATAAAAGAAAAAGAAAGAAGAAGAAGAAGAAGAAAAACTATAGAATCCATAATAATGTGCAATTAGATGCTATTGAACCCCCAACCCACCCTTTGCAAAGTTATAACCTAAAAGCAATGCCTAGTGTGGCCCAATTCAATTTGGACTACTTTGGTTGTAAGGGTATCTTGGCTGTTCTAGCCCAAAGTTGAAGCCCCACTAGCCTGGCCCTAGGCCTGTGTAACGAAGATGTTTCAAATTTCAGAACCGTCACTTAAGAAATTACCACGTGGTTCCAAGACCAATCATCACTAATTGTCACACAAGTATACTTCATTCAACTTTTTGTTTTTTTTGTATAAACAGGTGCTTGGATACAACATTTTGTCCCTAATCTGGAGAGGTAACTAATTGACACCAAATTTAAGATGAGTCACCAGTTGAGAAAGTATCCATTAAGATTTGTATTATTTTAAAATCGATTGATGTCGTTTCAATCAACTTGCTTGAACTAGACTACTCAAATTTAAGTGGTATCCACCCCTTCTTTTAAATAAAAAGTTATGATACATAAGTTTAATATTTTAATCGATATTGGATGAAAAACCTACCAGTCACGAAATGAAATCAAGTAAAATCCATTATTAGGATGCTTTAAGCTCACCACTTCGGTTGAGAAGCATTTTTCTTAGATGAATTTTATTTTAAAATTCAAGGGCGTAGTTTATCTTTCTAAAAAAGTAATAATAACTGAAAAATACACTACAAAGTGATGATGGTGTCTCCCATAGTTGCCTGTAAGTTGACCTTGACAAAAGCACTTTCTTGAGTTGCAAGTATTAAGAAGGAAAGGAACGTGACCATCACTGTTGAGGTTGACTCGAAGATAAAGCCCCCCATGTTCGTGGTGGATCAATTGGGGTCAACGTAGGTGAAATCACACTAAATCCTACACTTCCAAACCGGCCTACTATATAGGATACACAAAACGCAAAGGGCACGCGTACAGTCACCGAACTTTATTAAGAGCATTTTTAGCAATTTGTTAAGAAATTTTTTTGTGTAAAATATGTATTGTGACGTATGATGTGTAATTTTTTTAATCTCTAATAGTATGTTAAGAATGAAAAGAACATGACCATCACTGTTGGGGTTGACTCAAAGATAAAGCCCTCCATGTTCGTGGTGGATCAATTGGGGTCAACTTAGGTGAAATCAAACTAAATCCTACACTTCCAAACCGGCCTACTATATAGCGTGCACAAAATGCAGAGGCACGCGTACAATCACCGAACTTTACTAAGAGCATTTCTAGCAATTTGTTAAGAATTTTTTTTGTGTAAAATATGTATTGTCACGTATGATGTGTAATTTTTTTAATCTCTAATAATATGTTAAGATACACAAATGTATAAAATTATTGTGTATTTTACATAACCTTTTTACACAGTCACAAACAACATATTTCCTTTCTCCTCCTCCTTTTTCATTTCATTAAAGAATTAACCATATATTAAGTAGGTTTGTAAAAGTTATGTGGGTCTTGGCATGACACTAGTTGGTTGTTATTAAGATATATATATATATATATATATATATATATATATATATTATTTTTTATTTTATTTTTTGTATAAATCAATGATTTACACAAAAAAAATATATATATACAACGATTGAAAATGCTCTAATACCACAATGTACATTTACATTTAATTGTAAATGTAATAATAATGTCATATTATTGTTAGTAAATACAAACCAAACATTTTCTCTAAGTTAATGATAGCAATACTATTACAATCATTATTGGAATATTTCCATTACAAGAAAGAACAAAGTCAATGAGAACCACTTTGATCAATTTTTGTGTGACTCCAACAAAAAATGTTCAAGAAGAATTTTCATCAGTTTGTTTAAAAAATTACTTAATAAAATATTTAGACATTATTTGGTTTGTAATTTTGAGAACAGTTTTCTAATAAAAAATTTAAAAATATAAAATTGTAAAAAAAATTTGATCAAAAAATTAAAAGAAAATGAGAGTTTTGAGTTAAATTTTTACTTAATTTTTTATTTTCCTGTGATATAAGAAGGAAAATGATAAACTAAAGAATTTGAAATTAAAAATCGAACCGGCAGCCTGAAAACCGCCAAAAATTTCAGAAAAAATTAAAAAAAAATTCTAGAAAGCTTATTTGGCCCAAAAAAATTCCAGAAATATTAAGAGAAAAGGCTTACCAAATCTTTCTTTATCTGTGATTAATAAAATCAAATTTTTTACTCAAATTCTCTTAAATAAAATAGTGATCGATTCCATATAATTAGTGAATTATCCTACAATAATATTGTAATATTCAAACCCATTTCTTGCATAGAATCCAAATTAAAGAAGAAAAATCCATCTAATTAAACTATTAAGTTTTAAAATTATTATTTATTTATTTATCGTTCCCAAGTGGCAGAGTCAACATAAAAAAGAATATATAAATCGATAAAATAGTGTCGAGATATTTGAGTCGGTGATCCACGTAAGCCATGATAGAATCCCATTCAGTGTTCATTTTAGCTTTAAAAATCCAGTAGTAGCCGACCACGTGCCAGATGCGATTTGGACGGTTCAGATCACTCCACTTTGGACCAATCCAATGGACCACAACGCGTCCGTATAAAAAGTAATGGTTATCGACAAACAACGATCCAAAACCGTCCACGTCTCAAAGACAATCCCTCAACGAGACTTCTTATATCAACGAATTACCCGATCAAAGCCAACATACCATAAGACCAAAAACCCCCATCCGCAACACACACTCTCTCTTCCGTTACCGGCGAAACTCGCCGGCGATCTTTTTCTTGAATCTCCGTCAACATCAAACTCATTTCTGTACATCAAACTCATTTCTGTACATTCGTCGCATTTTTTCGAAGCTAAAACCCTAATCCGACCTCAAAATGTGCCAAATCTCTCTTAATTACGGTAGTTGTTGAATTGTTGCGACTAAGAGTTATTTGTGTATCGATTTGGATATTCGAAATCACAACTTTGAGATTCTAAGTTCAAGAATTGTTCTTGAATTTGCAGTCAGTAGTCAACCGTTAATGATTCAGAAATCATCTCTTCGTTTAAGTGAAATTCTTCTGCTTACTTGGTGGGTAGTCGAACTAGAACATTCTATTTGGATTCCTTGATTTTCTACTAGATTAACCTACATTTTCGACTTATAGTATATAAAAATCAATTCTTTCGTAAAAACATTGAAGAATTTCCGATCTTTTTGTAGAGGGTCAATGGCGGATTCCGATAACGAGTCCGGAGGCGGAGGTCACAGCCACGCCGGGAACAGTGAGCTCTCGCCGAGGGAACAGGACAGGTTCCTGCCGATCGCGAACGTGAGCCGGATCATGAAGAAGGCGTTGCCGGCGAATGCGAAGATCTCGAAGGACGCGAAGGAGACGGTGCAAGAGTGTGTGTCGGAGTTCATCAGCTTCATCACCGGCGAGGCCTCCGACAAGTGTCAGAGAGAGAAGCGGAAGACAATCAACGGCGACGATTTGCTCTGGGCCATGACGACCTTAGGTTTCGAAGACTACGTGGAACCGTTGAAGATCTATTTGCAGAGGTTCAGAGATATGGAAGGAGAGAGGACTGCGATGGCGGGAAGGCAAGCAGGCGAAAACGATGCTTATTCCGGCGGTGGTGGAGGCAATGGCAGTGTCGTAACTCTAGCCAACAGTGGGGGTGGTTACAACGAAGGCGGGGTGTACGGTGGGCCCATGCATCCTTCAAATATGGTCTCCATGATGAGCCATCATCCTCATCAAGGACACGTGTACGGTCCTGGCCCATATAATCAAAGGGCTGGCGGACCCAATTCCTCAGTTTTTGCTGGGTCTGGGTCCTCTGCTGGGCTACCAAGATGATGGTGATGGACGACCTATGATGAAAGATGATTCTTATATAGGCTTTAGATTAGTGGGCACCCTCCACACTATCTTAGGGCCACCTGTAGGTCCAGAAGTGTTTTGCATTAAGAAGGGTTCCCTTCTGTCAAAAATAGGATTTGATCTCATATAGTCGGTCACTTTGGCATTTTATAATGTTGGAATAGATATATATACATATAATACATATAGAGTGATTGTGTAGATTGTTTTTATTTTGTGTTTGGCCAAAAAAAAAAAAAAAACTAGCAGAGTGGGTTAAGCCTTTACTTGTAAGTGGCAATCAAACCATCATGTGTAATGGAGAATGGAAATTGCACATTTAAATTTGTAAATATGCACTCTCTCTCGAAAGTGTTTCTGATTCTTAGCCATAATGGATACTTACTTTAAATTTGATACTCTAAAGTAGAATCTCACAGTCTTCTCCAATTTTTTATAATCTGAATCCTCCACTTGTTGCGTGCGTGCGTGTATATATTAACAATCTCACATGATTCTACTAAATCCACCACATGTTTAAGAGCACATTATGGGGAACACATCAAACGGAACCCACAAAATCTATAATATTGTATAGATTTGTATATATTGTCTGCTTTCAGAGAGTTTTAGTGAATGCTCCACTACATTAAGTGGAGCAATTAGTCATAAGCATGATGTTAATTTCTTCAACATTAAATAATTGTATATTATTTCAACCATTTTTAATACTCGGGAAAATAAGCACGGAACCACCACTTGAAACTTACATAATCAAATCAAATTCGATATCCAGTTGTTGGCCGTCACCATCGCATTAAGACCCCGCACAGAGAAGACTTTTAAAGCCTCAGATTACATAACAGTAGTAGTTACTCCATGCAATGGAATGTAAAAAGAAATGTATACAACAAGATAGATCATCAAGAGGGATCCCCTTAATAATTAGAGTATCAGAAACAAGACCTGATCTTAAACAAATGTCATCATGTACACTACCAAACTTCTGCTGCTAACAGATGTGTTGGTCAAAAAACTGTTGTGCATAAAACCTTGGAATACCATAATAAATGACAACGGGCATTAAAAATGGTAAAAAAAGGTTTCATGTATCTTGGCATGAAACCAGTGAAGTGAATGGGTGAATCGTCTACTAGTCAGATAATAAAAATTCCACCACTACAATATGCAAATTCAAATTACAATTAGAACTTGACCAGAAACATTCATCTGATTCCGACCCTCAACAACGGGGTGCCGCTAGGCCAACCCAATAATCAGCAACTGCTCAACTGATGTGTCACGTATATAATACAGGACGCTACTTACTACCACATTTATAACAAATCAAACAACTATACTTACTGGTCCACCTTTGTCCTAGTGGCCTTGGGTCATAATTCTCAAGCCTCGGGTCAAGGGTTCCAGACTGGTAGAGAGAAAACAAAGAGAGGTATTTTCCCCCTTGTAATGGACCCTCATGATTCAGCTTATCATCAACACATATATAAATAGATTATGCACCTTTGGAGGCAAACTTCATTTAAATCTGGATGACTCATGCTCCATCAAAATAACTCTGAAACTAGAATGCAATCCATTACTTTTAGTCAACAAAGGGTCAGCTAAATTAAAGGAGGAAATTCCTACAAATTTATGACTGTGTACATAATAAGCTGCAGCCTGCAGGCACACCTTAAGCAGTTCCAACTCTATCAATTTTTAGAGAACACAAGTTTGCCAGCAAATAAAACAATCCCGATAAATTACAGCTGGCAATATCAAGAAAAAGAGAGACAAAATGCTACAAGGTAGCACAACGGAAATTAAATTTAGAAGAAAAGGATTTTTAAGACTATATGCTATACCATTTTTCATGTAGCCATGTCCATCTGTGAGCCTGTCAGGCCTTCACACCTTCGCCTGAAGGTTGGGTTTCTTCTTTCTCAGCATCACCTTCATCTTCTTCATCATCTTCTGCCTCATCAGCTAATTTGGTAAGTTCATCCTGGATCATGAGCTTTATTGATGACTTTCTGGGTGTGAGATCTGTATTAAATCTCCCAGCTGAAAGAAGGCATAGTTTTGTCACACATAAATAAATAAATAAAAGTTGTAATGTTCAACAGAACTGACAACTGAACTACACACAACCTTAATTATCTAATTAGATTAAGCACCCTTTTGTAAAACCTTCCACTACCTTGAAGAAATGTCAGTAGCTATTTTGAAATTTGGGTTCTGTTCACGACTGCATTCATACTGAATTCAAGTTTGTAATCAACATAAATCTAGATTACTAAATACCAGGACATTCAAGGATAGTCCTTATATTCCATAGAAGTTCACTACAAAGGATCATTTTGGCCATTCAACTAGTGAAACATCATATGATTATTCAGATTATTCGGTGATCATCACTATCGGTGTTCATCACTAAAATTCAAAACATTGCTAAAATCCATAAAACTCAAACAAACATATCACCTATGCCGTCGAGGACAAACATCCAAAACTACAAATTAGAGTGGTAGCATCCCAGTATCCCCAATTTAAAAAACATTACAAAATTCAATTAATTCAACTCCACAAAGCACCATATTTAAAAATTCATGTAAATAATAAAATGAAGAGTATGTACCAAGTTGCTTCAGAATATCGGTAAAGGTAGCCTGCAAAATGAACAGAAAACATACAACTTATATTATAGGCAATTAATGAATAACATAATCAATTAACAAGAAATATAGCAGTTTGACATCCATCAAAAACCAAAGTAAGGTCATATTTTTATAGGAGAACATAACTTAGAATCCCACAATCACCAACTCATCATATCATAGCCTATTAAAAGATTCCAATAAGGTTTGCGAGGAAGGGATGAAATCATCAGAAATGATTTTAGAAAGTTAAATATTATACGAGAGATTAACTTGTAATGGAAAAGAATCATGTGGTTGACGCGATTCGTATGGGGTTAAGGCAAAGAAGATGATAAACAAGGTTTGCAACATTTTTTAGTAAACCAAATTCCAGAAATGAAAATGATCCGCAGTTAACTTTGCACTTGCAGCACAAGAAGGCAATTGGTAGCACATTTACAGACTCTGATCCTACTTGCCATTTTCCAGTGAATAGGCTGCACGTACCACTCACTCTTATTTGCAACAGCATACATCATATTAGCCAGTATGAACAGTCACAGAGATTTCAAGATGGGGACCAGACTAAAGCAAAAGTAATAACTTGTTCAAACATAATCCTTTAGTGAAATATGAACAGCAAAGGTTGGGACATGACCAACCTTTATGGACCAAGTTACAACAAAATCATGAAGGAAATAATATGACAAATTCATTCATTAGTGTCATTAGTGTTGCAACCATTATGGACCAAGACCATTGATGATTTCAAGATTCTTACCGTGTTGAAGTCAACTTCTTTAAGAATTTCACATATTGCATTTCTGAGTTCATCATCACTTGGCCTTAATTTAACCTCTTTAGGTTTGTCCTTCCCTTTCGCAGCGTCTTTCCCTTCATAAAAACAAACAAGATTTTTCAAATATTAGTTCAGAAGAAGGCATTCGTACCCAGACCACCAGTTCTGTCTTGTCTTAATTTAACCTCTCAGTTTTTTATGATCTCAGGGAAGATCGGAAACATTAAGTAAAACCCTGCTTGAATTCTGAGCTAAAACTTCATTTGTGCACTATTTTGTCAAAAGAAATTCTCAAATTAAGATAATTTCTAATAACAGAGTGAAATATTGATTCGAGCCCTTTCTAGTCCTTCGAAGTAGAACAGTACAACCACTGCTTGAGTGTCTTGTGACCAGAATAAACTAGTATACAAGAGTAACAAGACGAAAAGAAAGAAATATGATTCTTACCATTTTTCTCCCTGGTAACAGATTTCTTTGGAGTTGAGGACTTCTCCTTAACTACTTCCTCATTTTTCTTCTTCCTTGAGAACATCTTTGGACTATTATCAGTGCTGTCATCAACCTTAGAGCTCTTTGCTGCTGATTTCTTAGGAGTTCCTTTGGATGGGGGACTAGATTTAATTGGAACAGTAACTTTCTTGGTTTTAGATTTTCCAGCAGATTCCTTCTTTGCAGACGATTCCTTTTTTGCAGACAATTCCTTTTTTGCAGACAATTCCTTTTGTGCAGACAATTCCTTCTTTCCAGATGATTCTTTCTTCACAGACAATTCCTTCTTTGTAGACGATTCCTTCTTTACAGACAATTCCTTCTTTGCAGACGATTCCTTCTTTGCAGACAATTCCTTCTTTACAGACGATTTCTTTGAAACTCGTTTGTCTTTTCTTGTGTCTTTTTCAGAATCATCTTCAGATTTATATTCTTTCTCTTCGCTTTCAGAATGCTCAGACATCTCATCCTTAGATCTTTCGGTAACACCATTCACATTCTCCTCTTCATTTTCTTCTTCTTCTTCCTCTTTTTCCAGCTCATCTTCCGTCTCATCAGTACTCTTTTTCTCCTCCGCTTTAGATGCACTGTCAATCTTTCTTCGACTCTGCAACATACACGAGAAAAAGGAACCACGATGAGAGATTAGAAACACAAGCTGCAATATGAAGCATCATCAGAGAATTTATTAACCCAAGTTAGATCAAGCTCTAGATTTTATGTTCTAGATGTTGGTCTCCCTTCAATTAATTCAGACAGGTTGACACAAACCAAAAAAAGGTTTAAATAAACCTCAAATTAAAGCGATCTCCAGAATGTAGATGTTCGCATCCCTACTCTATTCTTTCAAACAGGTTGACACAAACTGAAAAATTAGGGAACCACAACAATGCAATTAAATAAAAAAAATTGCTCAGCACCTGATGGTCATGAATTGTTAGATGGTGCATTTCTAACTCTATTACGCCCACGCCCAATTACAACTTCAATTACAGACCATCATACTGCACTTCGAAAAAATAATACACCAACATCTGTCTCATGACTATGTACTCAGAACCACAGAAAAGTAAGAACACAGAGCATGGTGCAAGTAAAAAAGAACCTGATCCTTACTTAAAGAGAAACTGATAGGACTATGGTCTGCGCCTAATTAAACATGCTTGGGTGTTTCGAACAATTCAAATTTACTTCTAATGGAAGGAAAGAATGATACCTTGGCTGAACTTTTTGAAGGTGTGCCCCCAGACATTGACGCACTTCCTTTGACAACCCTCTTACGCTTCTTGCCCTTACTTGACTGATACATTAATAGAAAACAAACATTAATAATAATAATAATAATAAAAAGATTAGCGGGGAAATAAAGCAATATTGTTTATCAAAAGACTGATACATTAATAGAAGACAAACATTAATAATAATAAAAAAGATTGGCGGGGAAATAGAGCAATATTGTTTATTAAAAGATGTCTTTTGATAAACAATAATGCAATAAAAATAAATCAACCTGCTCTTTTTCAGCAAGTAACTCAGTAGTTGTAGCATGAGGGGCCACCAAAAAGTCCATCAGCTTTATAACAATATCTTCCTGCATGCACAATTAAACTCATAATACTGACATCTATAGACATGCACTCTTTTAAGGGAATATAAACATGCATTCTAATTCGGTCAGCATAATTATTTACTAGAACATCTTTATCCTCCTAAAACAACATTAGATTACCACTTTCATAATTTATGCTGTTCCTTTCCAATTCAGACAAATTGTTGAATTGATACAATCATTCATGAACAAAGATGCCTTGTGTGTGCATGCACCTGTATACATGTGTTTACTGACCATCTATTCAGTCAGTTTTCATTAGTATGGGAATATAATGCAACCACAAAAGTTCAAACAACTAAACAATTGATATTTCCCATAGAGAAGGAAATCATAGAACGTAGGAAAGAAGGGTCAATTTACCACAAAATCTTTTCGGGCCAAAAATCAGACAGTAAGATTTTTAACAAACCTTCCTTGTAGTAGCCTTGGCAATCGGTATGTCAAGCACATCGCAGAACTCCAATAATTTCTCTTTAACACACTTGTCAAATTTTTCTTTCACTCTTCCCTTTTGCTTTTCCTGCAATAATGTAAAAGGCTTAGAAATGAAAGGCCAAAATTGTCTTCGATAATCAAACTCAACAATCCTAAGTAAAACCAAGTATTTCAATAATTAGTTGGTGGATCTATTTATACACCCCAAAAAAAAGGAAAACCGCGAAAATAGATAATGCTATATGTTAAATCCATTACAAATCATTCCTCAATATGAATTTCTTACCTCATTTTCATTCCACACAAAGCCAGAGAACCGGGAAATATTATTCTTGATCTGAATAGCCTGCAGAAAATCAAGAAATAGAGTCACAAGAAGCAAAGTTGGAATGCTCAAGAAAAGCATAAACCTGGAGCCAACTACAGCATCCATAGTCCAAACCCGGATGCAGGAAAATTATAGGTTTTTCATAATAATTAATCTTTGGCAGCCCAGTCACAGTTCATTCTTTGAAAGAAAGATCCAACAACAGTCAAAGGAGTAATATCAATACAATTCTAAGTTTGAATATAAATTACTGAACCTAACTTGGTCACAGAAGGTATACCTTCAAAATCTCATAGTAAATTAAAACAAATATAGGATTAGATAATCAATCAAACGCTGCATAATTTTTCTCCCTATTACAGATTTCACTATGTCATGTATTGATATAACACAGCAAGGGAATCACAAAACATCAGTTTGGATCACAATTAAATTCAGACATCTGGGTTGTTGTCATAAGAAAAACAATTCTTTCACAGAGCTATCACTATTCCTTTCTTAAAACAAACACCATTCAGAAAGAGTGATTTTCATACAATACTACATGTGACAAAGTCACTGAAGTTAACTTGACTGTGGAAACTCTATACCTCAAAAAATAATAAATTAAAATAAAGGCTATGGGCCCCATGACAACAAACAAAAGAATCCATACTGGTGAATTTTTCTTATTTATCTTTATTAAGCTTTAGGAGTCAAATATATTTTTACAATATCTATATTTACTGGATGTAGATCGTAGTAGCAAGCCATAGGTCTTATTTTGAATTGAATTGTGTTGTTGGGTCTTTACAGGTGGTCTTATGTAGGTAGAGTCAAAGTCTCATAGTTTCATATTTAAAGTACTAAATTTAGTAGAATTACGAAAAAGTCAAAAGCCTTTGGCTTGTTCAGTTCATTTTCCCAGACACAGCTTTCAGAAACTCTGGAAAAAAATTTTTTAAAAAAAAACAATTTTTAGCAAACTATAAAATACTGTTCTTTGAAATTAATCAATTTTCTAATTCACTTTACAGAGAACTGTCAACCAAATGATTATTCAAACTGTTGTGTTTCTTGATAATATAAAACTATTTTCATAAAACAAAACCAAGCAGTCCCTATGTATCTGCATAACTTTCAATTCACTAGACTTTGGTTTTTGACAATCAAAAACTGTCCTTGTCTACTACAGCTCACCTCTTGAAAGGTGAAGCCTAAAAGACACTGGATACTTCTTCCTTTTTTCATTTTGCTTGCAACCAGACCTTAACAATCACTCCTTTTTAGCACTAAAAATCCCACTTTGATAAGCCTTCCTTCAATGACAACTTAACAACCCAAAAATGCTCCTATTCCATCTCCAAAACTGTCCAACAAAAACCTAGATCTGAGATTCCCTTCCACTTTTTTGACCTTTAACGACATGAGTCCAGAACTAGCACTATCTTGATATTACAAGATTGTTGCAAACCTAAACTCACTTTCTTCAGGAAAACCTGCAACCTTTGTTCATTAAAGCAGGAATGTTGTGTTTGGAATAGGAGAGGGGAAGAGAAAGGAAGGGAAGACAAGGCAAAAGAAGAGAAAAGAAGGAAAGAAAATAGTTATTCCTTTGTTCGGTTGAGAAGAGAAAGTGGCGGGAAAATAAATTAAGAGAAAGGGAAGGGGAAATAGAAGAAGAGAAAAAGGAAGGGAAAAGCAAGAGAAGGCTCATCATAAAATTGGCTAAACAAGGAGGTGAAGCAGAATTCCAATATAAATTAGCTAAACAAAGAGGCTCGTCAGGGCAATCATAAAATTCCTAAAGCCACACATTTAGCACAGAGTTACGATATATGCTACTGTATGTTATTTGGCAGAAACATTAGAACTGAAATTAATTAAAACCAACCATTCTCCCAACTACAAAAGAAACAAAGAATGGAAAGAGGGTAAAAACCATTTCACAAGAAATGAAACAAGGTAATTCATAGATGATAGAACTACTTAGCCCATGTCATGCAAAGCAGCCAAAACTTCAATAAGCAATGACAGCTGTAGAACGAATAAAAGTTCGAAGGCAAAGTACATGACACTATCAAGAAATCTTATAGTTTGATGTATTTGACCATTATTCTAATGGAATTGTAAATATCTCTGTCATAGTGGCTATTACAAATGCAGGCAACAAGAGTAAAAATTATTTGTTGATTATTACCTCAAAAGCCGGATGCAAGATTTAACCTTTTAATATTTCTCTAATATAAAAGGAAGTACCCCCTTTTTTAACCTAATGAACAACATCTAAAAATGAACCTTGCCTCCAGAATGACAATGAAATCTCAAAAGCATGATTTTAAGGCAGTATCTGGCTGTGATTGTAAAAACATCCACACGACCTACTACAGGGGTGGCAGCAAGGGGGAAAAAATAAAAGCAAAACAAAAATTACAAATAAAATATGGAAACTTCAAATTACCTTTCCTCTCCTTCCGAAGAGAACTGTATGAAGAAACTTTAAAGTGTCATCAATCTTCCTTCTTGATAACTTGTAGGCCACTGAAACAGAAAACAGGTTCAGAAAATAGCACCCATTTAACCTATTCAGCTGCAATGGGGAGATAGCACAACACAAAGACTATGAAAAATAATAGAAATGAAATAAGTTCAGATAACTTGTCAAGTACTCCTCTAAAACTAGTAAAAGAGTACTCTAAAATGCAAGAAGTGCCTAAAATACCACCAAAAATAAAAGGATATTTTGCAAATACACAAAGATAAAAAGAAAATAACAAAATACATAATACTCCATAAACTATAAGAAATAGATCACGTGACATGCCAGCAACATTATGTAGACAAGAAAAACTGTCAAGAAGAATCTTAAAGAACTACGTTTGAACTGTTATAATGAGTTTTGCACAACAACAATCATGAAAGGGTAGCCATCATCATTCAATTTAGTGTTAAATGTTGTTGTCAACAATTCATTCGTCTAATTTCCACAGTGAGACTTCAACAAATGCAAACCTGACTGGAATATTACTGTCTACACATTCTTTTTTTCTTTCTTTCTTTTTCTTTTTTTTTTTAAATGTTACCATATCTAGCACATTCCTCTCTATGTTACATGGATCCAGAAGAACATTGAGAGAACTTGAGTGATTCAATGTTCCAAGTATTATAACCTTTGTAATTTATCCATTAATTAAAGGTTAATGCTATATTTGGTTGGAAGGAAGGACAGAAGAGACGAGGGTAAGAAGAAGCTTCCCTTGTTTGGTTGGAAGGAAGGAAAGAGAGGGATGAAGCATCCCTCCTAGCCCTTGTTTTTTTATGTGTCCAAAATTGGACAGAAAAGAGGAGGGAAAGAAAGAAAAACTACCCTAAAAACATTTAATACCAATGTTAACCTTCAATTATTTATAAAATCACTCGATAAACCATACTGAAACCTACCTTCTCGCATTGTTATTAAAGGCCCAAGGCGCACCAAGGCGCTAGAGGTCCTTTGGAGCCTAGGCGCGCGCCAGAGTGAAGTGAGGCGCACAATTGAAAATTTAAACTACCATAATAACATTCATATCTTATAAGTCATATCAATATTCTAAAAATTAATATCAAATATAAAAAAGTAAATCCATCAATTATACAAGCATCCAATAACCATAAAACAAAACACAAATTTGTTTTCTTGAAAGGCAAAGCAAAATGTGTTTTTTAAATGGCAAAACAAAGCACAAAAAGAAATAAATATGTTAACAAAAAAAAAAAAAAAAAAAAAAAAAGGAGCAAAAAAAAAGAAAGACAGAGATGAGAGAACTGGACAAAGAGAGAGATGTAAACAAGATAAGAAGAGAGGAGAAGAGAGAAAAAAGAAAAGAAAAGAAAGAACTGACGTGGCTTCGTTATTCATCTCTGCAACTATGGCTTCGTCTTCATCTCACAATCTATCATTGTTCGGTTAACACTTTGACTCTTGGGCTTTCTTATTTTTTTATTCTTTTGAACAAAAGTTCTTTCTATCGTATGATTGAGCTTTCTTTTTTGTTTATTAAGTTGCCAAAAGTACCCTTTTTGGCTTAAGAAATAGAACAATCGTATTTTTTAAAACAAATATCAATGAGGCGCACCTAGGCGCACCTCACAAACAGGACGAGGCGCAACCAAGGCGTGCACCTAGTAAACATCAGTGAGCTTGGGATAACAACAAGCACTAAACTTGAGCCACGAGCCTAGGCGCGCCTTTAACAACACTGCCTTCTTGTTATAAGTTTATTTAATAAGGATATATTGGTGAAAAAATATAAAAGCTCTCCTTTCCTTCCATCCAACCAAGCAAAAAAAATGTATCACCCCATCCATCCTTTCATTATCCCTTCCATTCAACCAAACAAAAATGAGGGAGACACCCTCCCTTCCCTAAGGATGCCTTGTCCATCCCTCCCCCTCTCCATTCCATCCCTCCAACTAAACGGAGCATGAGGTCATTTCTAAAGATCCTGAAAGAAAAAAGATTTCACACACAACTTTCAAAGATTTAGCCTCCGCAACTGCCTCATCATTTTAAGGATTTCAATGAGTGCTAGATGCAGCAGTTTGCAGCTGCAGCTCAAGGAATCGGGAGAACTTTCTTAAGCTGAAGCAAATATATATATATATTAAAAATAACAAAACCTTGTTAACAAGAACAAAGCAAAAGGTACAGAAAAAGATTTCTAACACACACAAGTTCATGGAAATCCCAGATGTCAAATTCACAATCACCTAACAAGCAAACTGTATATGGTGATTACACGAATACGAAGAATGTAAACACCTAATGTTATCTGATTGAAAGTCCATAATGAGCGTCTTGGAGTTAACCACTGCTCGGGAATTTAAAAGTCTTACACCAATAAAGTAACAACGTAACTAGCACGTCCAAACTATTTTCTTAAAGTCACAGTGATACAAAACAGAGTTGTAAAAGTTGATAATCAATATATACATAAGTTGAAATTTTGTATATAAGCCACACTAGTTTCCATAAGTTGGAACGATCAATCCACTTCAATACACTTATTGGAATTAAGGGAATACAATAGAAGGAAATTGATCGCATGACTAAGGCGATCATATAGTTTATTTTGCTTTATTTTAAATAGCCTACAGCATTAAAGATGAGAAGAAACACATGCTGCAGATCAATATAACTGTTATAGGGAAAATCTTAAAGCACGTACACAGTTGAAAAGGATGCAAATAAAATATAACATGGATACAGTGTAAAGAAGTTAAAGAACCATACCATTGGGTATATCTTTTAATATAGTACCGTGTCCCTGCAAATTACAAGGCAACTATGAACCAAGTCCCACAAAAACAAGAACATTGAACTTTATTCTACAAAGGTAAAAAGTATAATACGAAGAATCAAAAGAAACACCTTTTCAATATGGATTTCCTTGACAGATTCCTTTTCTATGGATGCAACCAGCCTTTCCACTGATTTCCGTTCGCGTACAGGGCGTTCAACTGCAGGAGCCACGGGAGTTTTGGGCTCCTTCTCCTTTTTCTCAGCCACTTCCTTTTTCTTATTGTTGGCTTTTCCCTTGGCACTCTTCCCTCTCCCACGCTTCTTTGACCCTTTCTCCTGTACACTCTCTTCTGCATTTCCTACTTCCTCCTTTGATCCGTCCACCTTCTCCTCAGCTTTCTCCTCATTTCCTTCCACCCCAATTTCCTCTTCCATTGCCTCACTTTTGGTTTCTTCCTTTTCTTCTTCTTTTTCTTGTCGTTCTTTACTTTCCTTCTCTTCTTTTTCCCCTCCTCCTTTGACTTTGCTTTTCTTGTCCTCTTGGTCTACATCCATTTTATGGGTGTCAACTTTCTCATCATCTTTGTGATCTTCTTCCATTTCTTTTACTACCTCAGTTTCCTCCTCATTTTTCTCAGTCCCTGGTTCACCCATTTTATCCGGTGAAGTACTCCCATTTGCCGCTGCCTCGGCAACTTCAGTAACTGTATCCTCCTCACTCATAATTGACCAAAAACAAAGTAGCACCTCAACCAAAAATACTTTTTCTTATCAAGCACCCTTGTCAATCTCGTACCAACAATGAACTTGTAAAAGAAAAAATATCATTTCTTAGTTCAAAAAATCAACACCAGAGAACAGACTCTCAGCAACAAAGACACATTCACACACACTCAAACATAGAGTGACATGTAAGTGACCGAAAGCAATAAGTAACAAAGAAATGTATTATAAACTGGACAAACATTGCACATGGAAAGATGCAATAAAACAAAAAATAGCCCATTTTTCAAAGGCAAAAACAAAAAACCTAATTTATGCAAAAAAAACGAAAACATATCCATACGAAAAAAATTCCAGCCCTAGCAAGATCTACAGTACACAAACACGCTCACCTGCTGATACAGCTAAAGAGAGTAATTTTTTTCCCAATTAAAACCGTAAAATAGTAATAAAAAGAGAAAAAGGGAATTTTTTTTTTTTAGAAGTGTATCAAAACCCTAAGCTGTAAAATGCAATTTTCACCCACGAAGCACGTACAGAAACACCAGAACTAAAACAAAACACACACAAAAATTGAACGAATGAGAGATGCGAGTTCAATATTTGAAACTTACAGAGATTTGAAAGCTCTATTTGGTGATTCGACGAAGCTCTGGGAGTTGTACTACTTCACTACACCTCTCTCTCTCTCAACGAGAAGAGGGCAAAAAAAAAATTCAACCTTTTCACACTTGGGAACCTCAGAGTTGGGGAAACTTTTTTCTGGGGGTATTTAACGTCCGGACTTCAAATCCGGATTTTAAAAGCAGTTAAATGCCATGTCGGATGAGACTGTCGAGACATATCGCTTTGTGGAATTCCGAAATAGTAACTGGGAACGGCTGAGATGTGTCTGAGAACAAAACATCACTAAATTGACGGCTCTGATTTGATATTCGTTCGAATCCGCGGATTGCCACTGAGCCACGTCCCGTTGTTCTCTCACTATGCACCAAAATGATAGAATCACACATTTGCACGCGGTACTTCGTGTGACATCACTATTACATTCAATTTTTGGGTAAATTACATTGACAGCTCCTCATGAATGCCTAAATAACAGATACCTCTTGCATAATTTTTAAAATAACAATGTCAATCTCTCTTTGTCTTTGACCTAAAGATTTTTAATTACAATTATACTCATTACATTTATTATTATTTATCATTACATGTACAAAATTTCCTTTTCAAGCATTCTAAGATTCAAATTAAATTTTAAATAAATTCCAAGCATAACACTGCCGGACAAGAATGATAAATGACCCATTTTATGATATGAGAGGTGAGTGTTTACTCGTGCTAAAATTAGAGAGAAAGTTACTTTTAAGACTAAATGAGAGGATTCCGTTATTTAAAATTCAATAGTGAGGTCAGTGCAATTTATTTTAATTTTTTTATCAAAAGAATTTTCTCTGTTATACTATTAAATTTTTTTTTAATATTTATTTGTTGTCACTTGAAAAATAATTGACATAATGGGCAAACCCAAATTTTTTGGGTTCGAGTTAAGGAGCCCGGATCCACTATTGCAATGAGTATTATAGTGTACACTTTTCAGCACATTATGTTTTTGTTTTCAACACAATGATTTCCATCTCATTACATTAGAAATTTAAAAATAAATGTAAATGTAATGTTTCGGAAAATCACTATAACACAAGATTTACAATGTGCGACCTAGACGCTCACATTAAGATGTGGACACCAAAATTATTATTATTATTTTATCATCTTGATGATGAAATGATGAATAACCCGCACTAATATATCAACATTGAAAAGTAACTTTTAAAATTTTTATTTTATCATAAATTATACATGCGCTCACTTTCTAGATTGAAAACTTGAACTCTCCAACTTTTACTTTGAAATGTAAGAAATTACCATTAGAATATAACTGTAGGTGGTGAATTCAACTTTAACCTAATTTTAACTTTACTTTTTATTCATTTATAGTTGCAGTTAATATTTTTTTAGTTTCTTAATTTAAAATTTTAATTATTTGAAATTTTAATTTTTTGAGAAATTATTTGCAATGTTTTATATGATTACCTTCAGTGTCTAGGACATGTTTAAGAGTGATCCTGAATTTCTTAGTGCTTCCATGCAAAAAATTTAAATGAGAATCAATACTCGCTTTCAAAGGCAAATTGAGTTGAGTCCTGGTGGTCTGAGACTGATAGCACCAGTCCAAAGGCAAATTGAAATGAGTCCTGGTGGTCTGAGACTGATAGCACCAGTCCAAAGGCACGAGGCAGTGAGCGGGAACTGAAATCTGTTACTTAAAACATTTTCCCTCTTATATTGAAGTTTTCAAACTTGTTTCCAAGTTTTTTTCGGAATCAAGATTGTAAAAAGTTTTCACTTGTTTCAACTTATATATATATACAAACTTAAAAAGGACTGTACCCAGATTTTTTTTTTTAACATTGAATATTATGCCTCTAATAGTTGACCATTATTTGATTGGTTGACTTGTAAAAAGTAAAAGCAAAATGTTCCAAACTTTTAATTGCGCAAAGAATGTTTCATTATAAGATTCTATATGGTGTGGCCAACAAACTTGACACATACCATCAAAATTTAATGCATTGCAGAAATCATAGAAGTAATTTGAATGAACAAATTCAAAGCTGCTCTTCACTTCATATGTGATTATAACAACAACAACAATAATAATAATACGTCAATTGACATTTTACACCAAAATAATAATAATAATAAGCTCCAATAAAATGAATGTGTGAGAGACGCAGATCACCACAAATAATTAAAAACTCATGATCCTGCTAAGGAAGCAGGTCGTCCTATCTTAGCATCATATATGAACCTAATCTATTAAGGGGAGTGTAAGGGGTACATCAATGCTTGAACTAATCCATAAAAAATATAGGATTTCACACAATGGAACCCTCAAACAGATCAAATCTCATCAAAGACCAAGGAACTCTAGTCCAGTCGCAGAGGGTGTCAAGCCATGCTGAGACAGATACTGAGGATTGCAAAACTTACTCAGATGCCTCATCCCGCTGTCACAAAGGATTGTTACAATTGTGTGGCCCGGGCCGATTGATTGTGCCACTCTAACAGCTCCAACACAGTTCATGGCCGAAGAACTCCCAACAAACAGCCCGTCGTTCTTCAAAAGAAACCTGATGGAACAAAAAATGGCATTGTAATATGTATATGATCTAAAATTTCAAAATTAGTATTATTGACAATATAGAGGATGAAATTTTACATTTCCGTGGAATAACAAAATAAACGAATGGACAAAATTGATTGTTCTATCTTTCTGGGCTTAAGAGAATGGAAAAGAGAGTTGGAGAGAGTAGCAACTAGCGCTTGTAGCCACACATTAACCAGCAAAATTAACAAGTTATTTCTGTTAAGAGATTCTAGAAGAGAGACAGAAAAAGTAGCAAATGACATCATGCAAACACCAACTTCCTTGCTGCCATTCTTATTTTCTCAGCAACCATATTGAACCCCAAGGAATATGGAGTAAAAGGGCATCAACTCACCTAGACATTTCAACAGCTTCCTTATCTGTACCTCGAAAGGCCCCATCAAGTTTTGCCATCGTAAAATTCTGGGTTAGTCTGTTAATTCCGATTCCTTCAGTTATGGTATCAAATGGATTCTTCAGCCTCCGTCCTTCTGCCTCCTCCCTGGTGTACATCACTCCCCTCATTACCTTGTTGAACAAACCAGAACCAGGAGGATCAATAAGAAAGCACTTGATATTTGGATTCTTCTCCTGTTGAACAACCGTCAAGGAAGAGGATCAATCAGAAACCACTCGATGTTTGGATTCTTTTCCTGTTGAGCATCCGCCAAGGAATTTATATGACCAGCTCAACTAAAGCGAATATGAAATTGAAAAAACAACTGAAGGAATACAAATTCGAAAGAACAAGGAAAAAGAAAATGACCTTCAGAAACCGAGAAGCACCAGCCAAAGTGCCACCTGTCCCTGCAGCCGCAATGAATGCATGCAAATTACCGCCAGTCTGATCCCAAATCTCAGGCCCAGTACCCTCGTAATGGGAACGGAAGTTTGCAAGGTTTTCAAACTGATCTGCAAAGAAACCACCTTTGCAATCACTCGAAAAAACTAAGCTTTGTTTCCCAACTTCAGATGTGTAACGATTAGTTTGTTCTGTGTCTTTGTCATCCATTTGGTTGGACTCTCGGTACTTTGATGCTATTTCATTGGCTTCCAATGCCCTTCTCCTTGCAACATTCACATAGTGATCTTTGTGTGTAATTGACACGGGCCTAACCCTTTCAACAGTAGCTCCTAGGGCTTCAAGTATTTGAGACTGAAAGATTGCATGTGACATGAGAAGACTAAGAAACAGACCTTGATCCAGGAGGAAAGAAAAAGAAAAGATTACTAATATACATCTTTGGTTTCACAGACGTGGGTATAAGACCAGTAACAGAATTCCAAGAAACTGTCCTTGAATACTTGGTTAAACTATGCATTTCTCAAAGTGCAGGCTTAGCCACCTGAATCCAGTTCAGTTTAACAAACAACTTCGCCGCATTAGAGGAAGTGCTGGAAGCAAGTTAATAAAAGAACACCTCATGACAAGAGCTGATATTAAACACTGGAATCAGTTTTTGGTCTACCAAAGTTGTCCCAAAGGTAAGCTCTAAGTCTTTGAAACCTGCAGGGAGGTCATGGGTGGATTGGGAACCTTCAATAATTTCTACCAAATAGACTACCAATAATAAATAGAAGCATAAAGACCAGAGGTACTTGGCAAATTAGAAGCTATGTTAAATGGACTCGTACGTATGTCAACCTGTCAGGTATGGGTATGTGCCTACTTTTGGATTTATAAATCCAGAAACCTAATGACATGAGAACAAGGCTAGATATTTCATATTTTTTAATATTCATCGTTTTCTTTTATATGATTCTGTAACATAGGGTGGTCATCATAAGCACAGCACTTGCCCTAAAGAATTAATCAACAAAAGGAGCATAATTAGAATTGAATGCACGGCTATATAGTAATGAGGAATTATTGGATAGAAATGCTTAGTGGATGTTCAACCAGAAATTGGAAACATTATCCACTCCCATACTTTGGTGTCGGGTATTTAACACTGGTACTTGATGCATTTAGAATAGTCAAAGCGACATAGATTATGAATGGGACATATCAATCAAGATACAGAACCAATTTCAAAGTACAATATCAATTATTTAGCATTCTCTTTTTCCTCTCAGAGAGGAACACACATCTTAAATGGGTAACTGGGAATTTGTTGAATAACATTAGAGGCCATTATTCCTATAAATTGCTTCCAAACAAATGTATAAAAAAAAATTTGATAGCCTATCATGGGGAATTTCGAAGCAAGTCAACTGTAAGAGAAGAATGCAAGTAAATAACCCAAGTGCTAATTCAAAAATAAAAATATGCATACTTTCTCGATAGCAACATCATCTGGGATAACCACATGGCATTTACATCCATAAGCAGGAGCCACTGTTGCGAGACTGATAGCAGTGCTTCCAGCACTCCCCTCTGTGACCACTCCACCTGGAGCTAGCTCACCAGATTCCAGAGCCTATATAAGGCCAAAAAAACAATAACATACAAGACAAATCGATCGAAACATGCACAAGATTAGCAAGAACAATGCAACTATCTGAGAGATGTGCAAAAGAAGAAATAAAATATAGAAAGTGCAAATGCAGCTGAAATAATTAGAATTATTGTCACAACATTCTTCTGGAACCTGTATTTACATGCCACTACCAATATTAAACAATAATCAATATGCTCGAAGACATGTTTGTCAAACGACGAAACATCAAAAATTAAGCTTAAAATGATCCAACTGAGTTCAAAATGATTTTACAAGGAAATACTGTGAACCAGGGATGCAAGGCAGTACACATGGCATGTTATTAAGAGAACCACAATAAAGAAGGAAATGATTAAAGCTCAATGACCATAAGGTATTCAAATTTGACCAATTCATTATTTTGGGTGAGTAATTTATAGGCGGCAAGTATAGAGGACATGGCCCATGGGAATAGAGCAGAACGGATGAACTAACAAGTTCATCATAATATTGTAAAACTCTGGTATTTATCATATTAAAGGAAAATCATATAAAATGGCCAAAGAAATGGCTATCCAGACACTAAAACAGTAACTAATGTGCACAGAATGAGATTACTTGAGGTAGCCGTATTGAAAAAGATTACTTGAGCTATCACTAGCAATAGAAGTCAATCGCTTTACCAGCCATAAGGTCATACTTTAATGCACCATCAGTAGTCAGGACTGGATGACAGCAAAAGAACTAACCACTAAGGCTATGAAGAAAGATTAAATTTAATAACATTTTGGTCCTAAATCCTAATAAAGCAGAAAGGCCGAAATAGTTAGAATATTTTAAGCATTGTTGAATTTAGCTACTAACAAGTTTAGCATTAATTTCAATGGAACACTGAGGCAATGCATAATCACTAGCTTAGCTGAAAATATTCATTTCTAGGAATTAACTTGTTTTATTGAACAACACTACAATACTTCACATTTTACCCAATAACACCCATGCATATCAAAGAAACCTATTTTTAACATTAATAATTTTCTCAAAACCTTTGAAAATAATTGTCAAAATGATAATTATTTTCAAAGAAACCTGCTATTTCTTGTCCAAATAATTGAAAATAAATAATTTAAAATCCACGCAAATGATGTGTCTTCATAGTATGTAAAGCTCAGTTGAAGTGATTTTTCAGTCTTTTTGAAAAATAAAACAACAAAATACACAAAACTAAGTTATCTTCCTTTCTCCTCAATTTCGTCAGTAATTAAACAGGAGTCAAGTTAATTCACCTCTTCAATAATTTTGACAGCTACCCTATCTTTCACACTCCCTCCTGGATTCAAGAATTCAGCTTTTCCAAAAATCTGAAAAAAAATAATGAATAGATCAACCAACAATATAAGACACGGGATGAGAAGAAATGGATGATCAAATGATTCAAAACAAAAATGAATGACATATATATATATATATAGAGAGAGAGAGAGAGAGAGAGATGGGTAAAGAGGTTACTTCACAGCCAGTGGCTTCAGAGAGGCTGTTAATTCTGATCAGAGGGGTGTTGCCAATGGCATCGATTAGACCTTTTATGGGTTTGTTTGGTGAAAGTCGTTTTTGGGTCTTTCTCAGGGAAGACTTTGGTCGCTGGTTGTTGCAGAGGAAGTAAGTGATTATGGCTATTGAGGAGAGTGCAGCGACAACGGCCCCTGTGCTTCTCTCAGGCACCATTGTGATGGCTCGGCTCGTATTCGGGGTCCCACCGTCTCAGATCCGAATCAAATATTGCGTAAAGTTCATCAGCCCAACCACTCATCCTAGGGCTGGGCTTGGTCAGAGACTCAGAGGAGTATTTTTATTGTAGAAAATGAATAAATTATAGCCTTGCATGAGGTAATAATTTGTCACTAACTGGTAATATGTATTTTATTTAAAAATAATTTTATAATATACACTAATCATTTAATGGATTGAGAAAAAAAAAAAAAAAAAAATTTAAAAAATCAATCACAACTGTTGTAATTGATTCTCAACCAAGCGTGGTGCCACTATTGCTAACCCTCCTCAATAAAGTGATCATCCGTTACCGATTTGATTCCTATTGCTCTGTGATGAAGTTGGGTCTCTACCCTGCAAATTTATAAAGAAATGAACAAATTACATTTATCAAGCATTAAAATGGCTAGCTCCAAAAGAAACAAGTTAGCATTTGCATTTTTTTTTAAGGCTATAGAGCAGTAAATCCTCCCGTGGTTTCACAAAGTTGCAAAATAACACCTTCACTTATTTTTGGAGCAACAATTTAGTATCTCGAGCCAGATCTAATCTACCACGTACGGTTTAAATAATATATAGGTAGTTCAGAGAGATAAAAAGGGATTCACTTGAACAAATAAGTAAACATATAATGCAGTGATTCCGTGGGAATGAAATCTAAATAACTTCAAGCTGGAATTACTATTCCACCCTTCTCTGGTGAAGTTATTCTCAATGGATGTTCAATGCTCGAAATTCTATGATTGTGGATGTAACACTCTCAATTAGCTGTCAATCTTCTAATTTTCTCAAAACATATGAATTTTATATTTTAAACTTCTTATTTTCACATAACAGCATCATCTCAACTCTGCCTATATATGATAATAGTAATAATTAAGAAAAAATTAAATAAAATTGATATTTCCTTTTTTAAAAAATTTTGCTGAATATATATTCATACAAAAATTATAATTTAAGAATTGACTTTGACAGTTATCGAATTCAATGTATATGAATACAGTAATGAATCTTATCATATGATGTTATTAATATCTCTGTCCCATATTAGTAGTCCACTATCTCATTTTTAGATATTTTAAATTAGTTACCCACTTTAAAAAGTCAAAATAAATAAACTTTATCTTTTCATCACTGTCATTTATATTTTAAAAAAATTTGAAACTTAGTAAACTATACATATCTAAATAAAAAAGTACAAGTTGATAATTTTTAAAAGAGACAATACATTAATTATATGTCCGCTTAAAAATTTTAATTTCTAAACATAGATATATAATATGGGAGGAAGGGAATATAACATTACGATGACATAAGAAGATGAAACTACCACACCCCATTCATATAAATTAAAGAATAAAATACAAAATAAAATTCTTATTGACAAATTACAGCGAACCCCTTAACTACAAAAAAGGTCACGCTGGCCAACTCCGAAAATGCTAAAAGATACTTTTACATGTAATCAAAACGACTCACATAAATTAAAATCGATAGTAAACAAATACGTAATTATCCAAGAGAAGAAAGAAAGAAATAGGGATTTGAGGAAACAACTCCAAAGTAAAAGGGTAAAACCGTAAAAATGACCAGACAAGGAAATTTTACGGTCCTCAAAAGTCTAAAACAAAGCATTTCCTGCAGAGAATCTTTCAAAGGCGCAGAGAGTGTAAAAGCTAGCTCCAACACACACACACACACACACACACACTCACACTCTCACTCTAACTTTCTCTCTCTAAAAGCTTAGAAAAAGCTAGTACAAAGGAGCTAATCTGGAGACCTCTCCTCTCCCAACTCAGCAGCAGCCATGAAGATCATAGAAAAGCTTCTCAACTTCAAATTCCACATCTTGTTTGCCTCCACTTTCTCTCTCATCATTCTCTCTCTCTTCTATTTGGCACCCAACTTCCTTAACATCGTGGTATACTTTTGGCCTCTCTTGGTCTCTACGGCTCTGTTTCTTGTTGCCGTTGTAGTCTTCGGCCGGACATCGCCGCCGGCAATCGAAAGTTCGGTCGAGAAAGCCGGTGAAGGGCTGTTGGATTATGTTGCCGGCAAACCCGAACAAGTAGTACTCCGACCCGAAGAAGAAAGTTACAGATCTGATGAATAAACCATGTAATATGTCTAATCTATCTAACTCTCTCTCTCTCTTCAGTTTAGTCTTAGAGGATTTGATAGGATATGAATTTTAATTTCCGAGGAAGAATAAATAAAATAAATATCATTATTGGCTGTTTCTTTTTTATTTTCCCTTTTTCTTTTTTTTTTCTTTGTGTGTTTGTGGAATATATGAATGTGAGAATTGTTATATTAATACATCCTTTGGTTTTGTGTTTCACTTGTTCTGTCAATCTGGAATGATTTAATTTGGTTGGTGCTTCGTGGGGTCATTTTTGGATTTTATTTATTTATTTATATTTATTTTTAAAAAAACTTAGAGATGTAAAGTCTTTGGAGCAACCAAATGTTGGATTGCATTTCAAGTCATTTTCAATTAAAGTAACATCATTTTTGCATAAATGATTTCAATTATTGCACAAGGAATATAGACACAAAATGCGGGCACCCTTCGGCCTTAGAACATTATCCTAGAGAGAGAGAGAGATATACATACATACATATATATATATACACACACACACACACACAATATTTGAGAGGACTTAATTGGATATATCTTGTCACCGTAAAGAGTCGTGAAAGTCTATGACGTGACACCATTGGGATAATGCTTTGGGACACTCCCTTGCGAAGTGAAATTCCATATCTGAAATGATTGAATTGGTATTGGTTTTATGGATAAAGTAAAAAAAGAAAAGAAAAAAAAGGGAAGAAAATCAGTAAAATGCATTTAGTAGTGGTTGCATCAACCAGATGTTATGTTATATTTTAGTATGATTAGCAAAATATCATTCAATTGAAAAGAGTATGAGACGTCAATTGAGGTATCAATTGGAAGCGAATGTGAATGAAAGAAACAAGTTTAGTACATGAATTTAGGTATGATGAACAATTAATTACATATTTGTGTAGGACACTACCATTTTATGTTTGATAGATTATGATAGTTTATAAAAATAAAAATAAAAAATACAATAGATCTGTTTGGTTTAATTTATTGAAAACAATATTCAAGAACTTAGAAAATATAAGACTCTTTTAGAGTAAAAAGACTGCTTTTTAATTTGAAAATAAAGATTTCCCCAAAAACACTGTTGAGAAAGATTTCCTTTCTAATTTTTTTGTTTTAAGTGAGCGGGTGTTTTGGATTCTTAAAAAAGTAAATTGAATATGTCTCATTTATATTTGTTTTATGCAAGAGAGTTTTGGTAATAATTAAGTAGATTTAGTAATCTTTTACTCTTCCAAACAGGTTCTTGAATTTTTATTTATTTATTTTTTCATTTCTTACACTTCCTTTTAACTTCTTTTTTATTTTTATTTTTTTAATTGCACGTCAATGGTAAAACAAACACACATTCATACTTTATCCTTTCTAAAATTCGAACACTAAAAAAGAGAGAGAAATTATACCATTAAGCTAAAACCGATTGACAATCTCTCAATTTTTAGCACTATAATACATTGGAGAGAAAAATTAAAAAAACCTCATATAGTACCTAATTAAATAGATAAGTCTCAATTGTAATATAAAGATTAATAAAAGTTATTATCCTGCAAAGCAAGAGTGAAATAAATCAGTGTCTCATCATATAAAAATATCTGTACACAAAGCTGTTTTTAATTTGAATTTCCAAAACTACATGCACCAAAAATAATGTCAGCTTCCTGGTTTGAACTTTTGCTGGTCTGTCATCCAATAAAAAATGAAAAAATATTACTTACTTTTTTTTTTTTTTTATGTTAGGTTTAATTACATACGATACCCCTATCATTTTAAAATTATCACTTACCTCCCTCAAAATTCGTTTCGTTGTAGCACTTTGCCCCTTTCAGTGACAGTCACCGACGTTGATGTCTTTGATTGAATGGCGTTAGTGATGGCTTGACAAAGGTACTAGGGCATACATAATAATCCTTCGCTGGAGTTCCTCATTGGAATTAGAATTCCAACGAGGGTGCAACCCCTGATGGAGTTGATCATTGGCGACCTCGCCGCCATATGAGTCAAACCAGTACCCATGGGCTCCGAAGGAGTAGAAGACATCCTCTCTCGCTCTCTGTGACCTCCCGATGAACGATTTCGAAAAAAAATCCTTCTGATCACCACCACAATCCAAAAAAACTCTACAGATGAAGACATATTCGAGTTCTTCACCGATCTGGACTTCGCAATCAGCCCAGTCGACAACAACATCATCTTTTACGGAAACATCATCCCTACAACAACGACCGAGACAAACTAAACAAGTACCAAAAGCGCGACTACTTCAGCATCATCAAATCATCGTCGTTTCATAAGTCTCGCTGCTTTTGGTTGATCGGCGATTCGAACAGCTTTGTTGGCGATGACCGGTCCAACTTGCTGGGGTTTCTGAATTTGGATTCGCATCCGACGTCAAGGCGGCGGATGTTCATGTTCGGACCGGTTAAGTTTAAGCCGAAGATGGATGTTTAGTTACAAAACTTTACTAATAATAACCTTATGTTGTACCCGACGCTCTACGGCCCACGACACCTGGGCTTTAGCCCAGGACCCGAGCTATGGTGGTGGTTGTGGTGGAGTTGGGAATGGCAGAGGCGGTGGCTATGGCCGTTACGATGGTAGTGAAGATGGTGGCTCTACAAATTTAGGGCTCCGAACATGATAAAAAAAAATAGTTTTTTTTTTTTTTGGAAGTTCTAAATAAAAAAAGTTGTTAGGTTAAAAGAGTAAAAAGCTGTGAATATTAATATAATAATAAAGGTATATTAGTCCATTCACACATATTTCTAACACAACCTTCAAGGTACTATTGTAATTTAGCCTAACCTCAAAAGAGGTAAGTGATATTTTTTCTATAAAAATAAATATGTACATAAAGCTATTTCTGATTTGATTTTCGAAAAGTACATGCACCAAAATAATATTAGCAGCATGGTTTGAATTTTTGCCCGTCCAAAAGTTCATATAAATTTGATAATCTAAAACGCAAACTTAGTATTGCATCAAATGTGCACGACCTTTGTATGTGGAGATGCTATTTTCTTAATTTTGAACCCATAATTTTGATGTCATAATGGAGCAACGATAATCATTGCCTTAAGTTTCAACCTCTAAGATATTAATTTTTAAATTACAAGGAACAATCTTACCATTGTACTAAGTCTTACCCTCTAAAATATGTTGTACTCGCATTACCTTTTCCATGCAAGGTAAATTATCCACTTCATGAGTACCTTATGATGGACTTGTTACTATTTTCTTTTCGTATGCATTGCTAAAAAGTTTAAACACTCTTTTTTATTTATTTATTTTTAACTAAAAGTATTAGTGGTAGGGAAAACAATAATTTGAATTTACCGAGGAAAAAAAACAATAAATAGCATGAAACTAAACAAAATATCATAGAATGATTAAAATATAAAATTTTAAAAGGTAGGAAGGTTACTGGTTTATGGTCATATAAATATTATGACTATAAAATACAACCCCTTATTGCAGTGATTTTGTTCAATTTCATGGATAATTATGAATGAAGTGTGATGGAATCTTATGTTTCTTTTCTCCACGTAAGCCCTAAAATCACGTTGATGTACTTTAGATTCCTGAAAAAATGTCGTACATCCATTAGTCACCGACAAATTAACAACTCATAATTTTTTTCAATAATAGAATAAAAATCAGGAAATCATAAATAATTTTTGTGTTCTAACTTCAAAGCAAGTACTGGAGTGTGCAGCTTCTCGATAAGTGACGAACAAGAAGAGTCCACAGAAATAACATGCTGCAACAGTGATTCACATTCAACGAGGAGTGGGGGTATTAACCCATCATTCAACATGCTCTTGATCCGGGACGTCTGATTCATTCTCAAGATGGGCCCACAAATTTTATAAATATTCTCCTACCATATGGTGGTGCACCACGCAACCTAGTTAAAAAGGTCCGATGGAAAGTGAGCCCCACAAAAGTTAGTGGGCTTCGGGTTGATATTTTCAACCAAATGCAACCCGAATAATATAAAGAAGAAAGAAAAATGATTTGCAATCCCAAAGTAGTATAACCCGTAAAATATTTTCCAAAAAATGTTTTTTGTGTTTTTTAATTATCGTAAAATATTTACGAAAAATAAAAATATTAAAACTTAACAAAAATAACTTATTTAACAATTTTTGATAAATTATTTTACACGTTTCATTAGATGAACTTTACCTCAACCTAGATTTAAACCTTTATTAAATACCAAAAATATATATATTTTTTAATTGAGAAAAAAAAATTATGAGAAAACTATTTTACTGAGGTTCATTTTCAAAGTTTCAACCTATATACTTTCTTAACATCACCAAGTATTTTTTTTTTTTTTTTTTCAACCTATATACACTTGTCCTTGTAAAGACTTGAATCTTGAACCTTCTACTTTAAAAAGGTGATCACACATGATGTCTTGATCAAGTGCTTACCGTCTTAACTGGGGCTGGATTGGACTCTAATAGCAGTTTGTCAATTTCAAGCTAACTTGTAAAAGTAGCTAGAGATATGGCCATCTGGGCTTGTGGTGGCCCAAGGTCAGCCAAAATTAGAAATAGCAACACTGTTGGGCTATAACCCAAAAACGAGAGCCCACGTGGCTGGAAGTATTTTATTTTATTTTTCTCCTGAAAAATTAAGTTGGAAAAATCAAAAAGAAGTTGCATTCCATTTAACAAGTTGAATGAAGAGGGAGGGATAGTAATAATTGACATTAATCTCAACTGCAACATTATTTGATGTAGGGATCTAAAATGCCAATGATGTGTTGGGTAACATGGTATCTATACTTTGGAATCGGAATTGAATAAACTAAAGCTAGGCTTTGAAGCACCGACTTGAAATTAAAATCGAAGAAAATTCAGTATTCAAGAGCGGATTTGGTACTCCCATGTTGTGGGAAGTAAACAACACACACCTGCATACATCACAGTGTCACATGTGCAGTGCCAACCCTTAACCTAATGTATTTACAAATACAGTAAGTGTTCTTCAATGCAATATAGTGAAGATTGATGGGGCCGTGGACCCAGGTCTAGGGCGATATGATTAGATTGTTTGCAGGTGTTTTGTTTACCTTTTTAGTGAATGCTCTTCAATAAAAATGGTTAACCTGTCACTTCAAAAGGAAGCTTCTGAGAGCAGTACAATAATTTCAACCAATGCCAAAGCTTCCAATAATGTGAATCCCATCAGTGCCTAGTACAGAGAATCAAAAGCTGGGACACGAAACTTCGTCTACAATTTCTTACAATGAAGTTATAAACTTACACTACTGACATGTTTGTATTCTTGCATATGCATTCTGTTTTTAGACAGATATTTTTTCATCAAGATATGACCAACATTAACAGGAAGACATGTTTCTATTAACAATTCTTAAATCAGCTTTATTCATGCCCTAGACTCTGCAGTAGGAAAACAACTCTAGCTTTCCAATTAAACGCACATCTAATTGTCTATGATACATATTTATCGCGTTTTTACATTCATTCCGCTAATGACAATTGTTGTTATGTTTGAACTATTTTCAGTCCATCTGCTTGAGCACTTCAGTTCCTGCTAGTCAGGAATACTTGTCATGGTATAAGGTGAAATTCATATATCGTGTTTTTTATGTGTTCAGATTAAAATGAAACCAACCGGAAGTAAATGCCGCGCTTCTCACAATGTGCAATCCACAATATTTTTAGGCAATACTACTTGAAATTCTTGGGAATCATCACCCTACAGTTTTGGAATGACCAGTTACTTTCATTTTACAAACCATAATCCTGATGGCTTATGAATTATCTATTCTTCAATCCATCACATTGCTAAAGTTAACATCCTACACCGGGAATTTATTCTTCCTAAACTTAATAACCTATTCCAGAAAAGTAGTTATTCAACTTATTCTGCTAGTCCATGCCCAGTGTTGCTCTTCTAAGAACAATATCTGAATAATAAAAGATGTCAACAAATCTTGAGTCATTGCCAAAACTAACCTCATACGCTACTTCTAAATCCTCGTTAACAAAGACGAGAGAAATTCAAATAAGAGATGAAGCAAAGGAAAGTCTTTATTTAGTAACTAAAATAGCTTGATTTTCCTACAAAACGACTTGATGAATAATGTTCAAGGCACAACATCAAGAATTCAGTTCATATGAAGGTCTAAATGAAAGATATATAAACCTCAAGAGACTTGCTGAAGCAATAATGAAACACAGTGAACTACATCATTAGATTAATAATCTAAGGATACAAGATTATTAAGTAAAAGGAGCAACATACGTAACTTATTTTTTCACAAGTGTATGAGAAGATGACCTCCCCATTTTGTTAGTCACTTCCTCGTGTCAGATGATTGGGCAAGCATTATATCAGATGTGGACAATGTTCCTGACTGATCAACATCAAGAGCTTCAAACTCCTCCAACACAAGTGCAATATCCTCTTGGCTGATCTTTCCCATCTCTTTTAGCTTATACAAGATAAATTCAGCAGCCCTATTGGAATTCAAATATTAATTGAGCAAAACAAAAAAATAAAGAACTATAGACAGTTAAATGTACACTCAAATGAGAGAGCACACATGCACACACAAAAAAGGGAACCAAAAAGCTCATTAAACTGATCTTATGCTCAGAACAAGTAGACTCAACTTACCCAACATCCCCATCATCATCAAGATCAGCTGCCTCCAAATCTAAATTTGTCACCTTCCGAGTAAGAACCCACTTGACCAAAGCTCTTTGTCTGCTTTCAGTGTTCAGCTCAGCAGCATAAAGAAAGAACTGAGCTAAACAAATAGTACCAGTCAGTATCCAAAATATAGCAAAAACACGGCCAATTCTTGTTGAGAAGCTCTTATCTCCATAGCCCAAGGTCGTGATGGTTGAACAAACACAATAAAATGCATCAATAAAGGCTAGCTTCTCAACTGTTGCAAGGAAGATTGTTCCAACAAGCATAACCACCGAAATAAAGATCAATACCGTAATTAACTTGTATCTCACTCTGTTAGTTTCAATCTCCTTCATGATTTCTGTCTGACCAACATTTTGATACATATGTAAAGATTTAACCAGCAATATTTCCTGTTTCTCAACTAGGTAGTCAGCTGCAGTACTAAGAAATAATGCAACTAATGCCATTCCTGTGAAGACAAAAGCACAGGCAAGAAGTTTGGCAAGCACAGAATTGGGCACAAGGTCACCATATCCAACGGTTGTCATTGTCACGATACAAAAATAGACAGCATCAAGAATTGCATTGGTTTTCTTCCCCTTGATCTGGTCACTGACAAGGCAGAAGCAAGCAGTACCTGCACTTAGATATACAGCCAATAATATGAATACTTTCCTAAAACTAGGGTGGAAGTTATTAAAAAAGGATCGAGAACATGGAAGTGATCCATTGCCATTCATTTCAGCGCCGAAATCTGCTAGAGCACTTTTGCAGCGCCGAAATCTTCTCCTCTTAAGAGAACCATTTTGAGTGGTTTGAAGTGTAGGATCTAACAATCTCGACAGCAAGGGTTGTTTCACACCATTGCCGGCCATTAGACCACTGCAAATTTATAGAAACTCTATAATTTGGAACTGCCATACAAGCAAGATTATTTTTGAACACCAAAAATAAATGAAGTACTTACTTTTGCTGATAAAACATAAACATAATTGCCATGAAAAAATTCAGCAGAAATTATATGCATAATACATCACTATAAATCTACTCTTGTCCAACGTATAAGATTTTTATATAATTTCTCCTCGTAACAGACCAACAGTGAGAGAGAGAGAGTTAATTAATCATATTGCTGCAAAATAATATTATTCTCTTTTAAATTTCTTACATATTGCTGCAAAATTATGGCCACATATAATCCCAAAACATTATTTTCCCAAACTCTTTTGGGAAAAAGTTCTGGTGCATTCAGAAATAGAACAACCAAATGATTCCTACAATAATTAATCAACAATTCAAATTGGGCATTGGCATTAAACCCACATACATTCTTGAATTATAGTAGGAAGAGAAATTAAAATATGATCACACTACCATTTAACCAATTTTTAAAATGTAAAAGAAATTTATTACACTATATTTCTAGAATCAGAAGCACAGGGCATTAGATTAAGAAACTTAGCATGAGTTCTTATCAATAATTAGATGCCTGTTTTTCATTCTTCCAAACAAACAAATAAACAAACAAATAAATAAAATAAAATAATTTAGACAAATCTAAAGGGAAGTCTTAAAAATCGAAAACACCGTGAAATGGGTTTTTCAAGAGTAATATAACATGAAATTCTAGAGAGAGACTTACAGAAAGAATATTCTAGAGAAAGAGATCGATCTGGCTTACGAGTTGAAGAGGGTTTTAGCGCTGATTTAAATTCTTTGGATCTCAAATCCTTCCAAAGATGGTAATTGTTGAGAAATTTCCTCCTATCCTATTATTCTGGTGTCAGTATTATTCACTCAGCTTCCTCATGCGGTGGTACTTCTTGGTTCCTTTGCTTCTTTTTTCTACTTCACATTGAAGTCTCTCCTCTACCTCCCAACAAAAAAACAGGTCCTCTCAACCGACGAACTAGGATCTTCTTTCCGACATGATCATGTTGGGCCCAAAAATCATGTTAATGAGCATGATTAGGATTAGGGGTGGCAAATGGGCGGGTCGGGTCGGGTTTGGGTTGGGTTAAAATAAACGGGTCATTACGGGTTAAGATTTATATTTAATCCGTTCATAACGGGTTAAAAATGGACAAGATCAACTCGTTATAACCATGAACCCATTAATTATTATTTTTTGTATGTGTGTATATTAATAAAAGAAATAAATTAAAGTATATATATTAAATGAAAAAAAAAAAAAGTTGTTAAGAAATAACTTACACTTTCAAAAAAATAATGAAAATTTAGTAATGGAGAGATAGGAGTTATGAATACTAATTATCAACTAATTATTGTATATGTATATATTATTATATGAAAGCAATAAATTAAAGTATATATATCAAATGAAAAAAAATCTAAAATGTTAAGAAATTCTCTACACTTTTGGAATAGTGTGTATATATATATATATGCACTTAATATGTGTTGTAGATGGAATTTTGACCAACACGCATGGATTTATGATACGGCTTCTGTTTTCTTATAAATTTATGGTGAATAGAAATGCATGATATATATTGGTTCATATATATGTATATATACATATATATTGATAAAGCGTGTGTGTGTGTGTATATATATATATATATATATATATATATATATATATATATATATATAGAAGAAATTTCTTCTTCTTATAAAGGATTCAAACAGTTCTTTTAATTTTCGTAGTTAACAAATTGATGTAGTTAGCTTCCCATTATCATATTTCCAAGAAATAATATTTTCTAAAGTTATATATCCTATTAAAAATTAATCAAATTTTTTTTTTTTGTTCTCCTTGAAGAACCATATTTCTCATAACTATATTTCCTAAAAGTTATATTGAATCTTATTTTCTAAAATTGGTAATTTTCTAAATTACATTAAAATAATATTTCCTAAAATTACTATTCATTTGCAAAATAATTAGTTGTCTAATATTTATACAATAAAAATAATTATTATTTTAAATTTTTAATTATTTTTAAAATTTTAAAATTTATTTATTTATTTTTAATTTTTTTTAATTTATTTATTTTTAAATTTATTTTTACAATTTTTAAAAAAAATTTTAATTATTTTTTATTTGTAAATTAATGTTCTTGAAAAAGTTTTAAATTTTTTTATTATTATTATTTTTTAATTATTTAAAATTATTTTAATTTTTTTATTATTTATTTTTTTTAGAAGAAATTTTTAGAGAGAGAAATTTAGAGAGGGGATTGATGAGAAACAAATTTAGAGAGAGAGGATTGTGAATGAGAGAATTTTAGAGAAAGAAATGAGTTGAGTGCAATATAGAATAGATGTGTATTGTGTGTTTATTATGAGATGGGTGAAATATGGGTTGAATATAGTTAATTTTGACCCACTTAATTTGACAGTCAAGATGTGTTAAGCATATTCAACACATCTTGACCCTCAAATTAAGTGGTTAAAAATTACTTAACTCATCTTGACCCTAAAATCAAATATGGTTCATCTATAACCATTAAAAAGCGGACGGATATGGACGGGTTGATGGTTTCTGACCCATTTTGCTACCCCTACTTAAGCATTAAACTGACACGCATTATAGGCCCAAATTCAGGCCCAATAATCCCCGAAATAAAAGCCCAAAATTGATTTTTCGTCAACTGCGGATCTTCTTTTTAAATTTCTTCCAGACTGACCCATTCAATATCCAAAGTCAAACAGTATCCGGCCTGGGCCTAGGAAATGCAAGGCCTTTTTAGAATACTTGTAACTTGCAACTTTTGTTTTTTTATTTATGGACCCCTCCTTTATAGTTTCAAAAATAACATTGCTATCTCTTTTTTGACGGTGTAAACTTTGACCAGAAGATATTAAATGACAATTATACGCATTGTCATTTATCAATACAACATATGAAAAAAAAATATATTTTCAAGCTTCATAAGGATAAAATTGTGTTTTAAATAAATTTCAAGCATGACATAGAAAACAAGACGGATTTAACTATTGGGAGGCCACTGTTACTTAGACCATAACTGTTGACGCGGAAATCCTCACGAATCGGAACGACGGCGTTTACCTGTAAAACAAAGAGACATCACCTCGAATGGCACCAGTGGGGTGCCGGCTGAGGACCCTCCGACGATCAAGTTAGTACTTGTAATCGCATCACATAATAATTATGTATCTTCTATTTAGGGGTTTTTTCACGTACCTTCTTTAATGGCTTAGTGCCCTATTTATGTTTGTCGATTGGAATCCAATTGGTTCCGCCGATGTCGATGGTTGATCTTATCTTCCGCTTGTGCGAGATCATAGGAGATTTGTTGCCAGATTTGTCGGGGATATGAATAATCATTTTGACCTCCTCCAATTATGACAGGATTATTCTTACCCTGTTGAACCACGTCAGATTTCATTATCATTGATAATGAAATCTAATCAATCTTATCGAAGGTAGGGTAGGTTTATATTTTTCCCTATCAGTTGCCCCCCATTCCCAAGCTTGCACGTCTAGCTTTGGGAATGTAAATTTTTTTTTTGTTACCCTGATGAACAATTCCCACAGGTACTATTCAAGTGAATAGTAACTCAGATTTTTTTTTTTTTTTTCCCAACCCTTGTGAACAATACCAGCGGGTACTATTCATTTGAATAGTAACTCAGGAATTTTTTTTCAACCCCTGCGAACAGTACCCGCGGTACTATTCATGTAAATAGTAATTCAGGAATTTTTTTCAACCCCTGTGAACAGTACCTGCGGGTACTATTCAAGTGAATAGTAATTTAGATTTTTCTTTTTTTTTCTTTTTTTTTTTTTTTTTTTTTTTTCAACCCCTGTAAACAGTACCCTTGGGTATTATTTTTGGTACCCTTGGGTAATCTTCCCTTAGGTACTATTTTTAATACCTTTTGGTATTCTGCCCCTAGATACTATTTTTAATACCTTTGGGTACTCTGCCCCTGGGTACTATTTCTAGTACCCTTGGGTACTCTGCCCCTGGGTACTTTGCCCATGGGTACTATTTTTAGTACCCTCAGGTATTCTGCCTCTGGGTACTCTTCCCCTTGGTAAGGGAATAAATTGTACGAGCTTTACTCAGGTCGTTACTCCTTTAATAAGGAAATTAAATTTTACAAGCTTTACCCAGCTCGTCCCCTTTAATAAGGAATTTTTATTGACTATTCCTTATAGTACAGGGATATTAATTACGGAATTTATTCAGCCCGAGTCCTTGTAGTACAGGACACTTATTTACTATCCCTTATAGTACGAGGATATTTAACTACGGGATTCATTCAGCCCGGGTCCTTGTAGTACATGACACTTATTTAGTATCCCTTATAATACGGGGATATTGATTACGAGATTCATTCAGCCCGGATTCTTGTAGTACATGACACTTCTTTACTATCCCTTATAGTACGGGGATATTGATTACGGGATTTATTCAACCCGTCCCTTTAGTAAGGGAATAAATTTTACAAGCTTTACTCAGCTCGTCCCTTTAGTAAGGGAATTAATTACCACATAAGTATAACACGTGAGGGGGAGGACACCATTCATGAGTGGCTAGACATCTTCTTAATTAGGGCTAGAGTTAGCCCTAAGCATGCTTTCTTTACCTTGATTTATGTATTTTTGAGGGGATTTGTGTTGTAATACATGTTTTGACATATTTATATACATAGATCTTGTTTATTCAATGATTTGTGTGGTTTAATTCTTCCAATTGATCATTTCATTCTATCCATATGTCTATGTATGCTAGGATAGATGTTCATGTGTTTATCTCTATCTCTTATGTTGTTGATGCATATCTATGTGTATTGATGCTATAGATTTAGAGATTGTCAAGACATATCGCTTAATAGAATGCTCTTGTGGTTTATTTGATGGTTCATATTCATTTCTTGATGGATTGTGCCTCTCCCTTAGTCTAATTAGTTTAATTTCCATGTCATTAGCTTAGATGTAGTGTAGCTACCTTAGTTGTTAAATGGGAGGACAATCTATGCTTGTTGTTTGATGTTCCATACTTATGAATGCAAGTAGTATATTTCTTTTTTGACCTGACCTTTGTAGGTTAAGTCCTGATCTCTGATGACCATACTTTTGTCAGTTAGGCCCTGGTCTTGGTCTCTGATGACCAGACTTGGGGTAACTGGGCACTGATCTTGGATGACCGAGCCTTTGCAGACTTTGGGTAATCAATTCTTAATCTTGGTTGACTAGGCCTTGGTTTTGGATAACCAAGCCTTGATTTATAATAACCAAGGGTTGTACCCTTCCCAGCGTGTAGAGACTAAAAACCCGACTAGCTCGATGTACCAAGGTACGATCAATCTTCTAAACCTTGTCATCATATGTAGATCGACGATTGATATCGTATGATCCACTATTCTGCCCCCGATGTTAGGATCTTGGGTAATGACCCATTCTATAAACGTTTATGCAACGGACGGGGTGTCTGGTGCTGCAACAATTTACAGTTGTCTAAAAATATTAGATTGGGTTAGAAGTAATTACTAAAAATTAACCTGCAATGGATTATCAATCCAAAATTCTGCATAATCTGAAGTCGATAGGCCATTCCTGCAAGAGAAAAGAGGTGATGACTGTCGTCTGGTAGGTGGAGGCTTAGTGTCCAGCGACTAGCTTGATGCTTGGTGGATAGGGGCGTGGTACCCAACGGCTGACAGATGACGATCTGGTGGCTAGTACCAGATGACGGTCTGGTGGCCAGTACCTCGTTGGGCCCAATGATTGCCTTTAACTTAGGAACCTCCTTGGGAATACAGACCTCATGGGATCTTGAGGGACAATTGAACTCCTTGGACCTGAAAGCCTCGATACATTCTTGGGTGTAGAAAGCCACACTGATTGCACGAACGGAAGGAGTAATGAGACTCCGTTGCTAGAGACATCCTTAGTTCTAGAGGCTTTACTAGTAGGTAGAGACCCCCTTGTTGGTGGTGATCTTCTTGATGGGTGGAGAATTACCCATTTATGTAGGTACAGAAGGACCAGGTCTTAGTCTTCAACAATCAGGCCTTGGTAATTGGCTGCTGCCCCGATATGAGATGGAGTTTGGTCTTACACGACCAAACCTCAGTAGTGAGGGGACCAAGTATTGCTAGATGGAAAACACCATAATGGACGGCCTGGGTCGACGTGCCAAATTTTGATTATTGTTATCGTACACTGGGTGGCATCACGCAACCCACTGTTTTGCCCCCAGTATGATGGATGGGTAATCAAGATGTAGAGTCCCGTCCTTATATAAGAACATGGAAACCTGTTGTCAACTGATGACTTTGGGATGATTTCCATGATCGAAAACTTTCGTCTTGCTATCCGAGCCAAGTCGCGTCGGGATAATTATTTCTTCAGAGAACTAATCGTTTCCACAAACGGTGCCAGCTGTTGATGCGAAATCCTCACGACTCGGAACGACAGCGTTTACCTGCAAAACAAAGGGACGTCACCTCGAATGGCACCGGTGGGGTGCTGGCCGAGGACCCTCCGACGATCAAGTTAGTACTTGTAATCGTATCACATAATAATTATGTATCTTCTGTTTAGGGGTTTTTTCACGTACTTTCTTTAATGGTTTAGTGCCCTATTTATGTTTGTCGATTGGAATTCAATTGGTTCCGCCGATGTTGCTGATTGATCTTATCTTCCGCTTGTGCAAGATCATAGGAGATTTGTTGCCAGATTTGTCGGGGATATGAATAATCATTTTGACCTCCTCCAATTATGACAGAATTATTCTTATCCTGTTGAATTACGTCAATAATGAAATCTAATCAATCTTATCGAGGGTATGGTAGGTTTATATTTTTTTCTATCAATAATTATTGAAAATGCTAATGTTATTTTTTGAAATTAGAGTGGAGGTCCTTATTATTTAGACATTCAATAGGTAAAGTCAGCTAAACTTACCCTATAATTATTATATTATTATTTCTTGGTGAATGATACTCACACGCCCCCCACCCACTGTAATGTGATAATTTATAATTTGTGTGAAATTTGTTTGAGTGACCAAGGTGCAACTTATCAAATCACGGATGCACGGAATTACACACACACACACACACTTATTTTAGGATATATGAAAAACTAAAACTCATTCTTAGATATTCACTTTAGGAAGCAGGGGATGACATTCAATTACAGCTCTTGATAAGCATTGGAGCAATGAGCAAGTGAGCAAATTGCTTTTGGGGGAATTAGTAGGCATCACTGGATTGCAATTGCATGTATATTAAGGATTTAATTCCAAGGAAGTGTGGCAGAAACTTGTCAAGTCCCTTTTAACTGTAGGGAATTGAAAGTTGTGGTGTAAATTACATTCAATTACAGCTCTTGATAAGCATTGGAGCAATGAGCAAGTGAGCAAATTGCTTTTGGGGGAATTAGTAGGCATCACTGGATTGCAATTGCATGTATATTAAGGATTTAATTCCAAGGAAGTGTGGCAGAAACTTGTCAAGTCCCTTTTAACTGTAGGGAATTGAAAGTTGTGTAAATTGCTTAGACTTGTATCGCGATTAATTTCATTTATTAGTTTTGATGACTGCTTTCTAAGTTGATTTGTTGATATCAGATTACCTATATTTTCATTCAAAATACATTAATCTACTTTCATTAATTTCAGTTGTTATCTATTTAGCTATTCAATCCAATCAATCTTCCAAATCAAACTTGGCATTGTTTGTTTGGGCCAAGCCATTCAATACCTAGACCCCACCAAATAGTAAGTTTGTAATGTGTGTTAGTATGCCTCTCCAAAAGTAGTCTCATTCAATTCAGCCTGTAATCTTAATAAATAAATAAAATAAAATAAAAAATTCAATCTGAATCAGGTGATGTTAGTAGGAGTGGTACTTAGTGATCACAAACAAGTAATGGCCCTGCGCCTCATTTAGATTTGTCCGACTTTCGAATCATAAATGATTAAATGAATTTTTTAATTTTTTTTTATACAAAATGAAGACATCCTCTTCACCGAGAAGTCATTTCTCACCAACCCCACCAACTTGGGAGGATCAATCTAGATCTTACATACTCTCAGGATCAATCTAGATCTTACTCTCACTCATGTGCTTCAAACATGAATCTCACTTATTTTTGAGATTGAGACTACACTTGAAAGAAGTTGCGCCAACTGGAGAGAACTCGCTGTATGATGTAAATATATCCAGGTGAATGAAAATGAAAGCTACATATTTCACAGCCACTTGTTCTAAATAGCTCATAAATTTGTAGGCCACCTGTGCTTTCAAAGCCTTTAATTTCAGCCTTTTTTGGAGGACAGATCACCAAATCTTCTTGTTTAATAACTGGTTAATACCAACCATTATGTCTAGGGTGATTGAGAGTCCATTAATCCAGGATGTTCCATGCTTCAATTTGTGGCAGATGAGTGACAGTGTGAATGGTTGTGCGGTTCAGAGAGGTTTGAGAGTTATTTTAGCCATAGAGATGTCAACTTAATCCACTTTTGCAAGCTTATTCCATTCCAATATTTTAAATGTCCATAATTCATTAGGAGCGAGTTTGATAAGAGAGAAAATCTAACTCGTTCTTTTGAGAATTTAATATTTTAATTATTTTTTATTGTATTAGTTAGTACTGAATAAATTATTAAATTTATTTTGAGCGAGTTCATAATAATGTGATGATATACTTTTTACACATCTAAAATAAGAAGGTTAACTATTTTTGGTAATACAATAAAAATAGTATATTAATTTTTTAAATACAAACCTTATTTTAGGACGAATAAAAATAAGAAAAGTGAGCATTTATTTTGTATTATTTATTATGGAGTATTTGTTGTGGCATGGGTCTCGGATATGATTAACAAACCTGTCCCATTGAGAACCTTATTTAGGCGATGGTTTTTGATGGAATTCTAGTCCTATTTTCAGAAGATGATCTTCTAGCGTGGAATGATATTAAGTGTGTGTCAAAAAAGGAAAAAAAAGAATGATATTAAGTGTGTGTGAAAAAAAGAAAAAAAGAATGATAATAAGTCACATCAAGTTTCAACTTGCATTTTTGTCCCCCACAATGTGTGGTTGTAGTATATAAAAACAAAAACGAGGATTCTTTACTTTGAACCTTTAACTGATATGGTATCATAATGCATACATGTGTGTGTGTTAGTGTGTGTACGTCGTGTATATTTACTTGCTCTCTTCAAGTAAAGCAACATTGCATAACAAACCTCACGTCCTTCTGTAACTATTACACGTTTGTGGTTGTATTGATGTCTCTATGTGACCAACTGTGTGCTTAAAATGCCCTAAAAACTTGTATTACATTAATTAATTAGAGTTGGATCACAATTTTGGCTTCCCCATCCAAAATGACGAAGATCAAACGAGACTGAACATATCATAGAATTTTATTATACATATGAGACTATACATTGCAAAAACAGAAGCAGACGAAGATTGAACGAGACTGAACAGATCATAGATTTTTACTATACATATGAGACTATACATTGCAAAAACAGCAGCATAATAAAATCAGAATTGCAGATTGGGTACCCCTGGATTGCCCAATAACTCAGGCTTTCATCCAGCAAAGACTTATTCTTATTTTTCTATATTACAGAGAACAATATCTTCCTATTGAATGAGAGCACAATCCAGAGTACCTAAAAGTTTACCGTGTCATTTTTATGTTTGGAAGTGCTAAATCAGCCCATTGAATTTGGAATCCAAAAAAAATTAATATAAATTTTTAACTAAATTTCTTCAAATTCCAAATTTAGGGAGCAAGATTTGATACTTTCAGTATTCTTTGAAAATTCAAAGATGAGGAGGAATCAGTACTAAACAATGACTAGTTGGTGTTGAGCTTCAATCCTGATTTCTTGCTTCATCCTTCGAATAAAATCATCAAATTTCTTGTTCAGCTCTTCTCTATTTAACAACTCATCATCATTTCCATCTTCCTCCTCCTCTTCTTCTTCTTCTTCTTCTTTTTCTTCTTGAATTATAAAGCCACTCGACCCTTTTTCAGTCTCTTCTTGTTTTTCTTCTCCTCCTAATTTTGTATTGAAATTCACAATTCCAGCTGGCTCATGTTCTTCATCTAAATATTCCACCGAAACTTGTTCTTTCTCTATCATTAGTGACTCTTTTGATGATTGCAAACTATCTCCATTGATCAGAACTGAGTGGTCATTAAGATCAGAGTCGACGGACGGAGAAAGGATATTGATGAAGCCGGAGGTCTTTGCAAGGAGGACCAAGATTCCATTACAAATGAGGAAGATATAGTTTCTGTGCAAGGAATATTGGGTCAAGAGTTGGAAAGGAAATCCAGACAAGTATAAGTTGAAGTAATGGAGGAAGAAAGAGTAGCATGGCGAAGAGAAAGAGAGAGAGAGAAAGGAAAAGGAAAGGAAAGAAAGTGAGATTATTAGCAACTGGATCACCTTCTTATTTAGGTATTGAGTCAAACTATTTAGGTACTGCTCACTTTGATCCATGCCTCTCTCTCTCTCTGGGATGAAGAAAATACAAGTGGTATGAGGGGGTGCACCTTGGAGTCTACTATATTTATATAGCAGGAGTTTGGGCTCAGAGTGTTACATGTGTGGCGTGCAAATTATTATTATTATTTTTTCTCAAAACTTAATGTGGAGGCATATAACTTGCCATTTTTTGTTTCCCAGGACAGCTAATTCCTAATGAAATTGCTCTTGATAATTGTGTGATGGACCACCTTGCCATCTGGGTTGTATATGTGTTATATATGACTATATGAGTGATCTCATCTTTATCAAAACCATTGCATCATTATTGCTTTATTCTTATTTTTTAAGATTTGGTGTACGTGGTCAACAACATCCCTAACATTTTCTTTCCTATATACATATTGATTGAATTTTATAAAATATCAATTATATCATTTTCTTATATAAAATGTAATACAATATATTATTATAATATAAGAACATTACTTAATTTTTACACTGGAATAAGTTTAGTCAGGGGAGGTCACAGTAATAAACACCGAACAGTTTATCAAATTTTTTTTTTAAAATTTTGAAAGTTAAAGTTAATTTAATAAATAAATAGAAAGATTACAATGAAGTTCAAACAGTTAGCCCATTGCTAACTAAAGAACAACCAGCTAAAAGGCAAAAAAGGCCCGAGGCAAACCCATTGCCACAAATGAAAAAGCAGCCCAAGGCAGAGAGCCCCAGGCAAACACATTGTACAATAAAGAGCATAATAGCCCAACATAACCAACAACAGATGTGTGTGATCAAGCATTTGATACTGCAATCCTACGCTCATGGAATGTGATTCCAACAGTGCAACGTGCAGCTCGTCTTCTAGGGTCTGGAGGTTTGTTTGGTGGTCGAATAACTGACTCTGGAAGCTCCCATTCAGTAGCAACTCTTCTAACATTGGTTCGAATTGCTTCCAAAGTGAGGTGGAGCAGAGAGGAATTTCTTCTTGAAGATTCTCCTATTCCTCTCAATCCAGATGTTACAAACTAGAGAAGCTAGTGCCAATTTTGAAACTGTGTTGCTGTGGTGATCAGAGTTTCCCTTCCAATGATAAGATGCTGAGCTGTGTCCAAGAGGTGGGCTGAATGTAGAACCCACAATGTTCCTCCGGAAGGAAGTTCCATAAACAAATGAACAACTAAAAAACAAGTGGTCATGAGATTCAGGTTTTGCATTGCAAAGGAGAAATGAACAAATAATATGAATACTTTCCTAAAACTAGGGTGGAAGTTATTAAAAAAGGATCGAGAACGTGGAAGTGAGCCATTGCCATTGCCATTGCCATTCATTTCAGCGCCGAAATCTTCTCCTCTTAACAGAACCATTTTGAGTGGGTTTCAAGTGTAGGATCTAACATTCTCGACAGCAAGGGTTGTTTTGCACCATTGCCGGCCATTAGAGTATACGGAAAATGTGGATCACTTTTAGACCACTGCAAATTAATAGAAACTCTATAATTTGGAACTGCCATACAAGCAGGATTATTTTTGAACACCAAAAATAAATGAAGTACTTACTTTTGCTGACAATACATAAACATAATTGCCGTGAAAAAATTCAGCACAAATTATATGCATAATTCATCACTATAAATCTACTCTTGTCCACCGAATAAGATTTTTATATAATTTTTCCTCGTAACAGACCAACCGTGAGAGAGAGAGAGTGAAATAACCATATTGCTGCAAAATAATATTATTCTCTTTTAAATTTCTTACATATTGCTGCAAAATTATGGCCACATATAATCCCAAAACATTATTTTCCCAAACTCTTTTGGGAAAAAGTTCTGGTGCATTCAGAAATAGAACAACCAAATGATTCCTACAACAATAAATCATCAATTCAAATTGGGCATTGGCATTAAACCCACATACATTCTTGAATTATAGTAGGAAGAGAAATTAAAATATGATCACACTACCATTTGACCAATTTTTAAAATGTAAAAGAAATTTATTACACTATAGCATGAGTTCTTATCAATAATTAGATGCCTGTTTTTCATTCTTCCAAACAAACAAATAAATAAAATAAAATAATTTAGACAAATCTAAAGGGAAGTCTTAAAAATCGAAAACACCATGAAATGGGATTTTCAAGAGTAATATAACATGAAAATTCTAGAGAGAGACTTACCGAAAAAAGATTCTAGAGAGAGAGAGAGAGAGATCTGGCTTACGAGTTGAAGAGGGTTTTAGTGCTGATTTAAATTCTTTTCATCTCAAATCCTTCCAAATATGGTAATTGATGAGAGATTTCCTACTATTAATCTGGTGTCAGTATTATTCGCTCAGCTTCCTCATGTGTTGGTACTTTTTGGTGCCTTTACTTTTTTTTTCTTTTTCTACTTCACATTGAAGTCTCTCCTCTACCTCCGAACAAAAAAACAGTCCTCTCTCAACCGACGAACTAGGATCTTCTTACCGACATCATCATGTTGGGTCTAAAAATCATGTTAATGAGCATGATTAGGCTTAGGCATTAAACTAAGCCACATTTTAGGCCCAATAATCTCCGAAATAAAAGCCCAAAATTGATTTTCCGTCAACTGCAGATCTTCTTCTTAAATATCTTCTAGACTGACCCATTCAATATCAACAGTATCGGGCCTCGGCCTAGGAAATGCAGGCCCTTTTGGAATAGTTGTAACTTGCAACTTTTGTTTTTTATTTATGGGTAAAGCCCTCCTTGTTGAATGTCTAAATAATATAGACATCTCTCTTAAGATTTTAAAATAATATTACTCTTTTTTTGACAGTGTCGACTTTGACCAAAAGATATTTAATGACAATTATACCTCTTGTTATTTACCGTGATAACATATGGACAAAAATATATTTTCAAGAGTAAAAATGTATTTTAAATAAATTTCAAGCGTGACATAAGCAGGCAAGACGGATTTAATGATTGGGGAGGCCGTTCAGTATTACTTTGACTAAAATTATAAGAAATGTTAATATTATTTTTTGAAATTAGAGTGAACGTCTTTATTATTTAGGCATAGATGAGGTCAGTGTAAATAAACCTTAATTTATTATATTATTTTTTCCCTGGTAAATATTACTCACACACCCCCCACTGCCCACTGTTATGTGATAATTCATAATTTGTTGAATTTTGTAAGAGCGAGTAAGGTGCAACTTATCAAATCACCTATGCATGGAATTTTATATATTTGCATACTTACTTTAGGAAATATGAAAAACTTAAACTCGTTTTAGAAAATAGAAGAGATAACACTGAATTACAACTCGTGATCAGCATTGGAACAATGAGGGGAATTAGTAGACATCACTGGATTGAAATTACAATATAACTGGATTGCAATTGCATGGAAGTGGCAGAAACTTGTCAAGTCCCTTTAACTGTAGGGAATTGAAAGTTATGGTGTAAATTGCTTAGACTTATATCGCAATTAATTTCATTTTTTAGTTTTGATGACTGCTTTTTAAGTTGATTTGTTGATATCAGATTACCTATATTTCCATTAAAAATACATTAATCTACTTTCATTAATTTCAGTTGTTATCTATTCGGCTATTCATTCCAATCAATCTTCCAAATCAAACTTGGCATTGTTTGTTTGGGCAAGCCATTCAATGCCTAGACCCCCACCAAATAGTGAGTTTGTAGTGTTGGTATGCATCTCCAAAACTAATCTCACCCAACTCAGCCTGTTATTTTAATAAATAAATAAAATAAAATAAAAAATCCAATCTCAAACTCTGAATGAGGTGATTTTAGTAGGAGTGGTGTTCACAAGCACGTAATAACCCTACACTTTAAACTCGCAACATTTATTTGAATTTGTTCGACTTTCGAATCATAAATAATTTTTTATTTTTATTTTTTTATATATAAAATGAGGACATCCTCTTCCCCAAGAAGTCATTTTTTTATATATAAAATGAGGACATCCTCTTCCCAAGAAGTCATTTCTAACCAATCCCACCAACTTGGGAGGCTGATTATAGATTTATAGATCTTACGTAGCCTTACTCATGTATTTCACATTGTACATGTGGATCAAACATGAATCTCACTTATTTTTGAGATTGACTAGACTTGAAAGAAGTTGCACCATTTGGAGAGAAGTTGATGTATGATTAATATATCCACATGGGTGAATGAAAATGAAAGCTATATATTTCATAACCACTTGTTCAAAATAGCTCATAAATATGTAGGCCAAATTTGCGCACAATGACAATGTTAGTCTCTTTCAATCATTAACGTTTCACGTCTCTTATTGTGACCAAGTGCTTTCAAAGCCCTCTAATTTCAGTTTTTTTGGAGGACAGATTAGTAGATTACCAAATCTTCTTGTTTAAGAATTGGATAATATATCAACCATTTTGTCGTATTTTTAGAAGATGATCTTCTAGGTGGAATGATATTAAGTCGCATCAAGTTTCAAAGTTGCAATTTCGTTCCCGGCCCACAATGTGTGGTCGTAGTATATAAAAACAAAAACGAGTTTGTTGAAAGTAAACAAATATTCTTTACTTTGAATCTTTAACTGATATTGTATCATAATGCATAGTGTATGTGTGTGTTAGTGTGTGTATGTATATATTTACTGGCACTGTAGAAGTAAAGCAACATGATTGCGTAACAACCTCACGTCCTTCTGTAACTATTCCACGTTGGTGGTTGTATTGGTGTGTCTATATGGCCAGTTGTGTGCTTAAAATGCCCTACAAACTTGTAGTACATTAATTAATTAGAGGTGGATCATAATTTGACTTGTGAAAAAGACGCAGATCAACAAGACTGAACATATCATAAATTTTTATTATACATATGAGACCACATTGCAAGAACATTAATTAATTAGAGTTGTTATGCAATCATGTTGCCAGAACATTAATTAATTAACTATATGTGTGCCTGTTAATGTGTGTGTGTGTATACATATATTTGCTCTGCCCAAGTAAAGCAACACGATTGCATAAAAACCTCACGTCCTTTTGTAACTATTACACGTTGGTGGTTGTATTGATGTGTCTATATGACCAATTGTGTACTTAAAATGCCCCAAAAAAAACTTGTAGTACATTAGTTAATTAGAGTTGGATCATAATTTGGCTTCCTCAGTGAAAAAGACGAAAATCAAACGAGACTGAATATATTATTAGGTGCTAAATGTTATACATTTTAACCTCTTATCTTGCATGTTTTATTCTCTTAATATTAACTTATTTTTTATTTTACATTGTTTTATTGTTTTTATTTATTTCAGGACTTTAATTGTAAAATCAGTTAAAACCAGTAATTCCGAGTTTTAAAAGATGACATTCAATGTTGAAGATCCAAATCTAATTAAACTTAGAAAAAAGTCCAAAAGAAGTCACAAGTTGATGAGAATTGTGATACCCCTCGGATCTAGAACCACGGGTGATCAAGTCCGGGCACAGATCCGAAGGATACCAAACAATCAATATATAAATAAGCAGGAATAAAACTGAATTAAGAATAAAATAATGATATGCTGAAAAGAATTCTAATTGTAAAACCTCCAAAAATAAAAGTTTTAATATAAATTAACTTTCCAATCCGTACAATTCGGGAATCCAACTAGTGGACGCCTAATAATCTCAACTGATAAAACTTTACAGAATAAAATCCAAAACTAAAACCAGAAAGAAAAATCCTATTTAGCCGGAAGAGTGAGTAACTGTATCTGCATCACCACGATCAAACCCTAAGCCTGGTACTCACGAACACCTGAAAAATAAAAGTGGGTCAGGCCCACATGCAAGTTCCATCCTACTACAATCCGTACATAAACCCGATACGCAGATACATCTTAGATAGCTCAACAATAGCTACAATAGTCCATAGATATATAAATACACACTATAAGATGTTCACTAGCCTATAACATAGTTCAACCTGGGTAGAAGGTGACATATAAAACACGCTTTTCAGCGGCCAAGTACTTAGACCTACCAGGGAACATTAGTTATATCTAACTACTCAACCTTTGCAATATACGCACCCTAACCGTGATCAGAAGACTCAAGCTCGTATCACGGTACCATAAATATATATATATATTCTTTCCTAATGCAGAAAAATAAAACAAACATCCGTTATGTCGTTCAACTGTTTTAGTTGACAGGACATGCATCCATGTAGGATTTAACTATTTTAGTTAATCCATTCCGTATGTATGAAAGGGGTAGGACTTAGCTTTTTGATCTAATCCATCCCTGATATGTCACCGTCCCATACCGGTACATATAATGCATATGATCCACACATGATGCACACTCAAAATGAACATCAAGTATATCCAGAACCAAAATAATAGAAATCAGATATAGATAAGCTCCTATCATGCATCCAGTATATGATTATATTCATATATCCTCCTTTTAAATTGTTAAAATAAGAATAAATAATTTAAACCATCCATTTCCATGTAATTGACAGAACAGAAATTAAGACAGTTCAGCAATTATCCTTCATAACATAATATAATGAATATCAGAATTTTAAACTGCACATTATACTAGAATTCCAAAACAACACATCCATACTAGTTCGTTTAAAATGTTAAAATGATGACTAACATTTAAATTCTCCCATATCCTTTACGGCATGCAAATTTATAATTAAATCTCATGGCATCTATGTAATTCCCCATTATAAATTCTGTGTCGGATATAATGACACTCCAAAGTTTAAGTACATCATATGAAACTTCAAAAAGTATTTTATATGAGTTCCATTTAATTTGCTAACACAAAACTAGCAACTAATCTTCCACTACTCCCGACAATATGCAGCTTATTAGATAAGGGTACATGACGTCATAACCAACATTCCTGGAACTGAACTATGCTAAATATATCATTGATATAAACTCTAACAATAATTACAATGTCAGTCCAAATTAAGTTGTCAAAACAACTTAGCAAAACAAGCATTCCTCCTTCCTTGACAGTAGGCCTATTATAAGCTTATGTTTTATGACATGCATTTAGGTTTAGCACCTTAGCATAAACCAACTATTTGAAGGCTTTAACAAGTTAATTTTAATCATTTAAAACCCCCCATCACTTTCCAGTAATTACCTTTAAGCCCCTGAACTTCAGAAAAATTGCAGAAAACACTCGTAGGGGTTTTTTTCCCATGGGAGCCGGCTCCCCTTTATTGGAGCCGGCTCCTAGGCTTCTAGAGCCAGCTCTCCCTCATGGAGAGCTGGCTCTCTCTTCATGGGAGCCGGCTCCCACCATTTAGGAGCCGGTTCTCACCCCTGAGAGCCCCTCTCTGCTTCACTGCTTCGTCTCTGCTTCCGGCAGAAGTTCCAACTGTCTGTCCTAAGTTTCTTAAGGATTTTAAGAGTTCAATTTAAGCCCTAATACTCCTAGAAACTCCTTTGATTTCCCTAAGAATAGTTTGGCAAAAATCTAATTTGAAG